AGTTATGATGTTTTTGCCTCCATAAATAAATGACCGGCAGTTGATCTGTGTTCCCTCCCGTGCAGGGCTCTCAGACTGTGGGTTTAAAATGCGAGTCCCACCAAAGGTTCAGTGCCTGATATACCCTTCCAGTACTCTGACCACAAGTCACTGACCACAGCGCTGGTCCTGGAGTGCTCAGAATAGACTGACCCATGCAGGAACAGGAGCACAGATGGAACAAGTATGATATCAACTTTTAGGATTTAAGTGTGTAAATGTCCTGAAAACTATCTGGACTCCATGTGCGTTAAAATCTGACCAGATAAATGTAAACAATCTGGTCACCCAAAGCAGCAGAACGTATTGTGTGTTGTGAAACTCTTCAGGTATGGTGTGAGTGCAGTCCAACATATTAAGCTGATTTCTGAACATATGGTGTTGCATCGTTAGAGATAATGGCTCTGTAAACTGGACTACACTTAAACAGAGGGAACTTTTAACACTTTGAGTTTTGTGTAGCTGTACTGTTGTACTGTGGTCACCACTGTAAATGGAACCACGCTCTTAACTGGGCCTTCCCTCCATAATTAAAGATCTGAACGGAAATTCTTCGACACAGTAAATGGTCTGCTCTGGTCTTTGATTCTCATCAGTGATCAAAAGGTTTGGTGTTTTGTGTTTTATAGGTCTTTTATTCAAATGAGATGTAATTGTTTTTAAAAGTGAGATTTCTGCAATGACCTTCTCTCCTGACTCCTTAAAAGTATCACCATCTGAGCAGCTGGATATAACAGCTGAAGCCTGTGCAGTTGTGAAAGAAGTTTGGACCATAAGAAGGCTCTGAGGCTGAAGGCCATGCGTCTGCTGGCTGTTTGGTTTGCTCCTGCTGCTTCCATGGCTCTCCTCCCATGCTCCAGCTATTTTTCCACACTGGGGCTCCTGGGCACCGTGTGTGGGCTTTCTGCTTTCTGGAGGCCTCCTCCGTATCTTCTTCACCACACAGCTCAAAGCTCCGAGATCCAGAAAAAAAGTTTTTTTTTTAAAACATTGTGAATTAGCTGGGAATAGTGGAAGAAGCTTTTTTATTGCAGTCTGTTTATAAATGCAGACACTGGATTTCGTAAAACAGCAATGACTGAAAAAATAGCTTAACAATGAAATCTATGAAAAGGAAGAAAACAGCACCATTGTGTCATTAAACTGTAATAAATACTTAACTGTTAAACAGTTAGTAGTTTAATGCCTGGTTTATAACTCTGTCTGAACGGTCATACATAATCCCATAACTGATGGCCTGGTAGAGCTGATGGTCAGATGGAGCTCCTTCTATCAGTTTATTCTTGCCTGAAGGGACTGAGAGGCTGGAACTCTGGAAAGCTGTCTGAAGAAGTGGACACAGACCCTCTAAACCCTGAGAGTGTGGTCTGGGAATCATCTGAGCTCAGTTTCATCTGGCCTCAGTTTCTCTCAGAGCTTTGAGCTATGTGGTGAAGATGCGGAGGAGGCCTCCAGGAAGCAGAAAGCCCACGCATGGTGCCCAGGAGCCCCAGTGTGGAGAAATAACAGGAACACAGGAGGAGAGCCATGGAATATTCCAGGAGCAGCAGAAGCAAACCAGCAGTCAGCAAGCGCATGGCCTTCAGCCTCAGAGCCTCCGTGTGGACAAAACCTTCTTTTACACCTGCACAGGCTTCAGCTGTTACATCCAGCTGCTCAGATGGTGATACTTTTGAGGAGTCAGGAGAGAAGGCCATTGCAGAAATCTCACTTTTAATAAACAATTACATCTCATTTGAATAAAAGACCTATAAAAACACAAAACACCAAACCTTTTGATCACTGATGAGAATCAAAGACCAGAGCAGACCATTTACTGTGTTGAAGAATTTCCATTCAGATCTTTAATTATGGAGGGAAGCCCCAGTTAAGAGCATGGTTCCATTTACAGTGGTGACCACAGTACAACAATACAGCTACACAAAACTCAAAGTGTTAAAAGTTCCCTCTGTTTAAGTGTAGTCCAGTTTACAGAGCCATTATCTCTAACGATGCAACACCATATGTTCAGAAATCAGCTTAATGTGCTTGACTGCATACAGTACGTCCTGCTGCTTTGGGTAACCAGATTATTTACATTTACATCATACATTATTGGCATTTTATATATAAATTTTCTCGCTGAAAAGGTTATACTTCATATCTTCTTAGAATATATAATGTCAGTGTTTTGTAGTTATTAACACATTTGTGCCTACTACTGGAATAAGTGATTTTCATTTATGTTTATCGAGGCTGTAGGATTATCTGAAAAAACTGTAACAACATTAAAAGTCAGGAACCACCCCAAAATCTGTGAGACGCTTGTTAGATTGATCTCATCATTACTTTAATGTCTCACAGCAGTGTGTCTCCCTCTAGTCCTCCACCATCCTGAACACATCATTACGCATTTTGTTATTTGTCTTTGTAGTATTTTTACGATGAAATACAATGAAAATTGAGAGTGAATTGCTTGATTCACCATTAAATCATTAACAATCCAAAACCAAAAAAGTGAACTCATTTAGCTCAAGGGCTTACATTGCAATTACTAATACATATATAATATCTGTGTAGAATTGAACCCAGTGTAGGAAATTCTCATATCCTGCAAGCAGAAACCTTCTCGTCATGAGAACTGCTAATACAATAAAGGTTTCCCCATAAAGCACTGTTATATAATGACTTGTGTGACATGATCATGCTAATTATAAGACGCAGCACATTATATACCATTTTTTATGTTGGTACAGAAGAGGTTCTAGTATTATGTTTAATGCTGTATTTCATTTTAGAGCAGCTTCAAAACTCCTGGTAAAGGTCTCACTGTTCTAGGCAGGGTTCTCTAGATTGGTCTTGACCACAAACAGTCCTGTATAATAGCCATAAACGGCATCATTATGTGGACTGGTGTCACTGTTATTTTTAATGATCATTTTATTGTAAATATTACACCCATATACTGATTTGTTATTGCAATGTCAAATTGTAAACTGTGTTAAAACATTACATAATTATTGTGATATAGTTTTATTTATACCAACATATTCAGAACACTGTAAAGCAGTGCAAGGCTTTAATGACTGCTGTCTTCACACCAAGGTTGTCTAAAATAAAAGGGCAATTTAATAGCCTGAATAACCTAGGTATATATGTAGGTTACAACAACAGTAGCACACAACAGTTGCCTGTAGGCAAACTCAGCACACTAAGATTTAGACCATTTGCTATTTTATCAAGAAGCAATTTACAGGCTGTGAATTAGGGCTGCACAATATTAACAGAAAATGTGATGTTCGATAAAGGTGTCAGATATCAAGATGACAATAGGAGAACGTCTCAGAGTGTGTGTTTTGTAGTTGAATTACATTAAAGTTGATTTATGAGTACATTTTAAGGTCTCAGAGTGTGTGTTTTGTAGTTGAATTTCCATTACAGCTGAGTTATGGGGACATTTTAAGGTCTGCAAATGTATGTGTTTTGTAGTTGAATTACCATTAAAGCTGAGTTACAGGGACATTTTAAGGTCTCTGAGTGTGTGTTTTGTAGGGGTGGGGGGAAAAATTTCTTAGATGCATCGCGATGCAGACATGGACGATTCTGAATCGATTCACAAACGTCAAAAACGATTTTCTAATTTTCAATTGATAACGTAATGTTGACGGAACGCAAAAGGTGGAACTTTGCAAAGTGCGGAAGCGCAGCGCCCGGACAGTCTGTGGCATGCACACTACATTAAAAGCTAGTGCAGGGGTCGCAACCCAAATGTTAATAAGAGTCATTTTGTCTTTTCAACAAAAATCAAACCACTTTGGGAGTCCATTTTACCATGTTGGCTGTACATGTGTCTCAGTACATGCTAATATCCTAGTTTGGGCTAAAAATATAATACAAACAAAAATGCAAACTTACTTTGCTCTGCTTTAAGCTTTAGCTCAGCTGTAGCCACTTGCATCACCAAGTGAAAACAAAAGTAGAACAGTTTCATGTAAAATGTCTTTCAATGTTCTACTTTTTACGAGGCTGAAGTCAGTTTCTCGTTCGAATTTTCCCGTTCCACCTTAAATGGTGCCTGAGGCGCCAGAATGTAACTGCTGCACCATTTAAGGTGGAACGGGAAAATTTGAACAAGAAGCTGGAGAACGAGAAACTGACTTCAGTTTCACATGTTTTTTTAGTGTTTGACAGTTTCTCGTTGCAGATTAAATGCATCAGGAAACCAGCTGACTGATTATAAATACAAATAAGTCTATTCGTCTCCAAATTATCGATGTTTGTCTTTAATCTTTCTTTTTGCCTTTTTGTTAGCTACTAGCTAGGTGAACTAGCAGTTATAGGCTATATTAATTCCAGTGTTTAATTCATTTATTGTTAAAACTGTGTTTGAACGATCAGCAGAGCTTTATTTTCACTGCAAAGGAGGATTATTTTATTTTTACCTAGAAATGGAAGCACTTTGGCTTCTATGGAGTTGAGGGGGAAAACCATATTACGTTTCCATCCATTTTCCGTCCAGTTGTAGCTGCCAACCAGAGGACCATCGATCAAGCGATGTCAAAACTTCCACCCAACTCGGAAAGGACGAAGCGAACTAGAAACTCCATCATAACTTTTATTGCCAAGGATTTGCATCCGTACTCAGTCATTGAGAACCAGGGCTTCCACGCTATGCCGAGATACAGCGTCCCGCCTTGAAGATATTTTACTGACACAGCGACCCCCACTCTTTACAACGAGACCAAAACTAAAGTTATGAAATCACTGAGGAAAACGGGTAGAATAGCTGTAATCTGCTGCGTGGACACCCATTGCAACCCATCGCAGATGAGTGGCAGCCTGCGTCTCATGTGCTCCAAACAAGAGCAGTGAATGAGAGCCTTCCAGTTCACTTGCCACATCACTTCCATTTGATTTAGTAATAAAAGATATTGGAAGTAAATTCATTGTAGATCATTACAAATACTCTTTAAAAGTTGTCACACAGTGAGAAAAAAGAAATCCTGTATAGAAAAAAGATGCATCAAAATGCATCGATCATTGTTTTATAATCACATCGCAGCCCTCTGAATCGTAACAGAATCGAACCATGAGGTACCTAGAGATTCCCACCCCTAGTGTTTTGTAGCTGAATTTCCATTAAAGCTGAGTTATAGCAACATTTTAAGGTCTCATTATGTGTTTTGTAGTTGTAATGGTTTAGTTACCCAGCTCCCACGTGGGAGAGCAGGTTCAGTTGCAGCGCAGAGAAGCAGGCTTGTGACGGTTTGTGCTGGTAACATAACGACGTCTCAATGGTGCTGCATGTATGAGGTAATTAGATCTGTTCCATGATCGCCGCTCTAACCATGTGTTTATCGCAATAACGGTAAAAATGCTATTCATCGTGCAGCCCTAATATGAATGCACGATATACTAAACTTGCAAGAACAACTACCAAATTACAGGAAGAACTACCAAATCACACCAAGAACAATGTTAGCTTAAAGGTTTCTGACCAGAAACAAAAACATGATTATTTTCTCTGCTTTCTCTGATGTTACCACCAGTCAGCGTTGGCTGGGTGACACGATCGGATGGTGCTGAAGTCACAAGTCTACAGGAAAACCTTCTCAGACCAAAGGAGGACACTCCATCACACTGCATGTGTCATGTGCTTCTGGGTCCCTCTTCATGCACGTGTGTAACTTTAAAGTGTGTGAATGCCTAAAGCTCCGCCCACATTCTGAGCAGTAATACGGTTTCTCTCCAGTGTGAACGCGCTGGTGTCGTTGGAAATGACTCTGTAGAGTAAAACTCTTTCCACAAGCTGAGCAGAAATACGGTTTCTCTCCAGTGTGAACACGCTGGTGTCGTTGAAGAGTACCAGGAACACTAAAACTCTTCCCGCAGTCCGAACAGTGATAGGGTTTCTCTCCTGTGTGAGTGCGCAGGTGCAGCTGAAGAGTATTCTGTGCAGTAAACCTCCTGCCGCACTCTGAGCACTGGTGCGGTTTCTCTCCAGTGTGAATACGCTGGTGTACTCGCAGATGTATCCGTAGGGTAAAACTCTTCCCGCAATCCGAACAGTGATACGGTCTCTCTCCGGTGTGAATACGCTGGTGTGTTTTTAGATTACATCCGTTATTAAACCTCATTCCACACTCTGAGCACTGATACGGTTTCTCTCCCGTGTGAATACGCAGATGTAGCTGAAGGTGACTATGCTGATTAAACGCCTTTCCACACATGGAGCAGCGATACGGTTTCTCTCCTGTGTGAATGCGTTCGTGAGTTTTAAGGTTACACCCATCACTAAACCTCTTTCCACACTCTGAGCACTCATACGGTTTCTCTCCAGTGTGAATGCGCTGGTGTACCTGCAGATTACGTTGCTGAATAAAACTCTTCCCACATTCTGAGCAGCGATAGGGTTTATCTCCTGTGTGGATGTGCTGGTGTCTCTGGAGACTACTCTGTACACTAAACCTTCTTCCACACTCTGAACACTGATATGGCTTCTCTCCTGTGTGAACGCGCTGGTGTCGTAGGAGATGAGCACGCTGATTAAAAGTCTTTCCACACTCTGCGCAGTGATACGGTCTCTCTTTGCTTGTATCTTTCTGCATTTGTCTGAAAGATGTATTTGCGAGGAAAGAATCAGAGGATGATAGCTGAGCTGTGCTGCTTCCTCTAGAAGCCATGTTCTCACTTCTTATCTCTCCTGCTTTCTGCAGTGGGATGTTTTCCTGTATTGATGTGTTTAAACTCTGCAGGAACGTTGACACTAGCAGCAGGAGAAGACTTGCAAGAGCTGTAAAAGAGAAAAAAAAAGAAATTAAAAACTTAATATGAAAGAGGGAAATATAAAGTATTGGAAATTGTACCTAACAGGAAGTTTGATGTTTGAGATCAAATTATCACGATTAAATAATAAAAATTTGCGAACTGTAAACTACAAATTTAATCTAGTGGTTCTCAGTCCATGTTGGGGGTCAAGAGCCCGCTGTACTCCACAGTTTTGTGAGGGATGCAATGTAAAAAAAATATTTCTAAGCATGAGTTGGCTGTTTGATCTAATGCATTAGATTTAGTCATCTAGCACATGAGCTTTATCTAAGCAACTTGCAAAACATGTAAGCAGACACAAACGCTGTGTTCAGACTACAGACGAATCTGGTTTGTTTGCCAAATCAGATCTTTTGAGACAACTGTCTTCCCTGTTATCTGCAAGTGTTCAGATCAGATTTGTGTGTCCAGACATCACTAGTCTATCTGCATGCGTTGCCGTGGTAACTATGTAGGTGTCAGTAACTACGTAGCTACACTGGTGACGTGGATTTCAAACGTGGATGCAGGATAGATGGAGGTGCATCATCTTGCCCTCCAAACTCTATAGAATTTTCTGGCAAAAGTATAAATCTTTGAAACTCTTCTTAAATCCCAACATTTCTGTCACTCTGGATTTGACGTTGCTGCTGTTTGTTGTGTTGCAAGATCAAATTACTTTGAAATCCGATTTGAGCATCCAGACTGAGACGCATCAGTAAAAATCCAATTGGAGTCGCATTTTAAACCACCTCCGAATGTGGTTTGGATCTAATTTGCAAAAATCCGATTTCATGCATTTTCTACTGTCCAGAATATCAAAAATCTATTTGCATACAATCTGTATCTGACAAAAATCAGTTTTGGGCTGGCAGTCAGAACATAGCTAAAGAGATAAAGTACCCAGAGAGACTACAACAAGTGAACAAAACACAAAGTGCAGAGGCTTGAAGAGAAATTACACTGTCACGCAGGAATAAGGTGTGAATGAGTGCAGTGAAGTAGGAGTGCAACGATTATTCGACTTGGTCGACTAAAATCGACGACCAAATTAGTTGGCAACTAATTTAGTAGTCGATTAGTCGGTGACGTCATTACGCGTCTTTCTCGCGCTTACTTTTTGAACGTTTTGACATTACCGCGTACTGGAGAGTTAACAACAGCGCGACGGCAGCCTCAAGAACAAAATCCTCAAACGTGTGGGAGCTAAACTCAGAAAAAAAGGTTGTCAGTTGTGCTATTTGTAAAGCCGACCTTAGCTGGCATGGGAGCACAACCTCCATGCAGGAGTATTTGAAGAGGAAACTTGTCGGCTCACTGGATAAAGAAGATTCAGGTCGGTAAGATATGCCCCGTCCCAAACCGCATACTAGCTTACTAAATAGTGTGTAAAAATAGCGCATATACCATTAGAAGTGCATTCATTAGTGTAATGTGTGAAGTACAGAAGTGTGTGGTTTGGGACGCGGCGATAGTTGTGCTAGCGAGCTAGTTAGCTAATGTTAATGTTAAATTCCATCCTACTTCATGTTGTGAGCTGAGCTGTAACATTTTCATTTTAATAATGCAGGTTCTGTGGAATCGTTAATGGACTTGGAACAGAGGAGCAAGTAACTATTATTCACAGCGACCCAGTTCACTTTACAGATAACGTTTACACTTTTAAACACTGCATCGTTGTCTTAACGCTGAGGCCGCCGGTGCGGTCAAACTACGACGGCGAATACAGGAGAGCGTTTGCAAAGTTCTCTGTTTTCCGCTAACAGTTTAAGGAAGTAGTTCTCCGTGAACACACAGGGAAGTTGGACGAACGGTTACCGCTGAAATTAAGCGTTTACACAAAATCGTTCAAATTTAACTGTTTGCCACAAACATTCGCCACTTTCCCATCCGCTCCGTCAGAGCGTATCTTCTCTGCTGAGGGGAGTATCTGCTCTCAGAGTAAAGTGAGACTCTCACATGAGCACGGAGAGATACTGACTTTCCTCCATTTCAATAAAGACCTATGATTGTAGAATTTAGTTGCAGTAAAGCGTAGACAGACAGCAGAATGCACAGAGCACAGACCGCACTGTTTAAAATTAACATTTAAATTTACATTGATTTTTTTTATTTACTTGATTAAAGAAAAACGACTTAGTTTTGTTATATTGTATTGCTGCTACTTTGCACATCCTTGGTTATAAATTTTGACAGGAAAAATATACTGGAGTTTTTAATAATCCTTTGCATTAGCAGGAAAGTTCATTAAAACAGTGAAATTCTTGAAAAAAGCTAATAGCTACATAAAAGTTATTTGATAATGTAGTGATTCATAATCCGAATAACTGATTATTCGTTTCAGTAATCGGTCGATTATTCGACTATCAAATTAGTTGTTTGTTGCAGCCCTACAGCGAAGTATTAATCAAGGAGGTGCGTCTTTAGACAGCTAAAGGAATGAGAGCAGTGTAGAGTTCAAGGGAAGGTTTGTTCCACCACTGAGGGGTGCTAAAGCAGCAATGCCTCAAACAGTCATTATATTTTCCATGCACTAACATCTTAAATTATCATGCTCTAATTGAAACCAAATGGACTGATGCTGTGGGGGCAGAGTATTTGCCTAAAGGTAGCTGGCGGTCCCTGTGCAAAAGGTCCATTGAAAAGAGAATAGGAGACCTCCAGTGGAGGATCTTACATGGAATTTTATCTACAAAAAGGCACATGGCACGGCTTGATCCTTTAGCTGGGGAAGGGTGTCCCCTCTGTGGGATTTCTGAGACATTATTTCATGTTTTTATTCAATGTTTACATCATTGTCAGGTTTTACATCTAGTTAAGAATTGGAATTTTAGGTTCCTTTGAACTGAACATATTTATTTATAAACCAAAGTATTCTGTTCCAAAGAGGGACAAAGTTATTCTCTTAAATTTCTTTGTATGTTGCAGCGAAATTGGCGATTTGGTGTAGTAGGAAGAACAGTATTAAAGGGGGGTTATTGATCCTGTTCTGATGGTGAGGGGGTTGGTGTCAAGGCAACTCCTGTTGGAATATGATTACTATAATCTCACTGATGATGTGAACACTTTCTTTTCTGTGTGGGGAATTCACCTGTAAACCTGATGATCAGGGTGGGTTTGTAGTAACTTTGAAAGTGGGGATTCCTGCAATTTGTTTATACAGTTGTTGTTTCATTAATGATTTAGGAAAGTAGATTTTTTATTTTTTTATTCTTATTTTTGTGTCAGATGGTAAAAAAGGTGTTTTAAAAAGTATCTCTCTCAGCACCTCTTTATCTCTCTCAGCACCTCTTTATCTCTCTCTCTTTCTCTTTCGTTTTAATTCATAACTAAATAACAGATTTTATTCCACTTTTTACGACCAATGCTTCAAATTCTTTTAATTAATGACTAATTAAAACACAGAGGAGATTAGTTATATCTTTCTGGGACCAACTAAGCAAAGTCTACTCAAAAACATTCAAATCTCCATTACAGGACAGAATATAAATACACTCATTAAAAATCATCTGAATAATAAATAAAGCATCAATAATGTTCTGCACTTCAAACTAAATCAGAAAAAACACGATTGTCCACCAAAAGCAGCGCAGGAGCTGCATTAGTTTATTCTGCCAAGTCCTAATAAAGCTGTCTTATTTTATTTTTTAATAAGCGATCATCTCCAACAGATCATTCCTGCTTTAAAAACATAAATGAATAATGAAGTGAAAGCGTTTTTACCTTCTCTCTGTCTCTGTGACGACACTGTGGAGCAGAACGGGATCTTCTTCGTCTCCGCTTTACTGCGGTTGGAGAACCACAGTTACAGCGCTGGCGCCCCCGCCTGGAATGCAGCAGTAGCGACACTGGAACCGCAGAGCTGGAGGCGTCATTCTAATCCCACCCGTTTTCCGTCAAGCCCCGCCTTCAACGCTTCAATTGGGTAGTAGTTCACGCCCGCAGTCCGCTGACTGGCCAGCCGAAAAGTGGGTTATGTTAGCAGCATCAGAGAATCCACAACTGAAGATCTGCAGAGGGGGAGTTTTACCCAATTCAGCCAGATTCCTTTATTATACAGTACACATATGTAGAACCCTGCTGAAAAAGGACCATTAGAACCCATCAGGATTAAAACTTAATGGTTTGGTTTTTTAAATGGGAATTGGGTTAATGGTTTCCAGTAGAGACCACTAGTTTCCTGTAGAACAGCTTTGGATCCCATTAGGAAATCATTGAATGCATTTAGAATCAGCCACTGGTCAACTGTTAAACCATTAGAGTCATTTACACTGTGATATCAACCCATTAAAAGAGACAAAACACATTACAAAACCATCAGGAACCAACAGAAACACTAAATGTTTTTTTTTTTTCAGCAGGAGCTGAAAGAGATCAAATTAATTGCCAGCTTTGAATCCAATTACACAGTTTAAGAACAGCACAGGACTCAACAAAACAACTACAAATACAATTAACAAGGAGAAAAATATTGTTCAACAGCACTTACATATGAAAAAAAAATATTCCAGATATATTTATCAAATATATTTTTGCAATGTATGAAAATGGCCATAAATGTATTTGTTAAATATATATTTAAAATGCATTTATTAGTATTGATTATTATATTTGTTCAGTTGTGCGTAGTTGTAATAACAGATGTAACTAAACTAACTACTGACTTCTGTGATCTACATTGTATTTTACATTAACCATGTATGTATGCAGTAAGACACTCACACACAATGTATTTCAAATCAACAAGATATCAAATCTGCAAACTGCATTTTCAAGAGCATCAATACCTACTACACTCGATTTTGTCATATTAAAGGTTCATTTGCTAATATTTAAAATAAAGACACTGGAATACAAATTAATTTCAAAAGGTATCAAACAGTAAAGTACATTAGACAGGATTTTGGCTTTTAGCATACATTTTCAAATGGATTTGATAAATACATTTATGTACATTTATTTTTGTATGGTACATTTCTATGTTTAATATTCCCCATACAGTTTAAAATAAATGTATTTTAAAATACATTTGGTTAATATGTCAATGCATTCATACATTTTAGTGTTTTGAATTTATTTCAGTATTGACTGCAGTGTGTTTGAAATGTATTTTAAAAATATAAAAATGCATGTTCATATTTATTCATAAGTTTCTACTCAAAAAGGCCTAATTGCGTAAAACTATTTTTTTTGTCAAACAGACTCTAAAATACATTATTTGTTTTATTAAAACTAGTTTTCTCTGACTTCTGATGTTATTGCTTTTAGGATTTTTAACAGAACAGATATCATTTTTTTAACAGAAGCAGAATGAGCCTTACAAATTTTTTAAAGTTCTGTAATTTTTTATCACATTATGAAGTAGTGTTCCTTTGAAGAAGAAAAAACTAATTTAAGTTCAGCACTTTTGTCTTAAGTATTAGTTTTACAAAATAGTACCTTTAAAAATTAATGTATGACATAATGAAAGATATAAACATGGTTAGACACACTTTGTTTATTTTAAGTTGCATGTTGTTTTCTTTTGCTAATGCACATACATGGACAGTTCAATACATTTCTAATAAAACTGATTTTCATATGCTTTTCATGCAAATCTGAGTAATAAAAATCATCTTTAAAAATCCCACAACAATTTCTACTCATTTTTGCCTGAAACCATTACATTTGAATGTAGAAAAAAAATGTCCTGGATTCAGTGAGTAAATCTCTACAAGAAAAATATTTTAGAGGATCTGGATTGATTATTTGGTGTGACTAAGTTTACAGGATACAGAAAAACTGCACAAATTAACTCAGGATTTTAACACACTTTGTACTGGAAAGGCTAAATCAGCTTTGTCAGGTTGAGTGCTGAAGGGCTTGAATTCAGCTAAACTGGGTTTGATAATTAAAAGTCCAGGCCTGATAGTTTGCCTTTTGACTTGTACAGAACAGTTTGGAAAATTCCTTTGGGAAGTCTTGAAAGGGGTATCTGGGGGGAAACTATGACACAGGAATTGATTAGATTAATCTCAAAACTAATAAGAATAAATTCGGTTAATTGATGCCCCATAACCGGGCCTGAATCATAAATTTTCATACCCTTTTAGGTGGGCATTGGTGTGTATACTGCAACATTTTTTTTATATTTATGTTGGTGATATGAGGGCTGAGCAGCACCACAAAGTCAGCATGCAAACTTGGTAGTGAGTGAACGTCACCACCGTAACACTCCACTTTGGAGCTCAGCTGTAATTGAAATCTAAAGTTAGATTTTTCCTCAGCTGCCGATTGATGAACGCTGGTATGATGTCGACATTATTGTATGCAATAAAAGAAAAAAAGTAAAGAGCCTCATAGAATTTACAGCTGCTCATCTCTCCTCAAACTTTATATTAATGTAACATCACAGCACACTTCCTCAGAACTGGCAACAGAGGTGCACTTGTGTTGTTCAGCAGACGTCTAGCACAAAGTGTCATTGTTGATTTTTTAAGAAAATCACAGGGTAATCCGGGTTAAAGAGAGAGTGATGTTAGGTTTTGTGGTTACCGTGGGTCTTTATTTCACTGATGTCATAAAAGTTAGTGAGTGCTGAGTCAGGCCATCACCGACAAGAAAATACTCACTGTGGTGGGATGATTTTTTTATCCATGTATCCATTGTCAATACAATTGCAAGAAAATTTTCTGGGGCCTGTTATGGAGGTGGGTATCGATTCATATGAACACCACCTTATATAACCTTAAAAAACTCTATCAGCACTGCTGTGTCTGATCCACTCGTACCAGCACAACACACACTAACACACCACCACCACGTGTTACTGCAGTGCTAAGAATGATCCACCACCCAAATAGTACCTGCTCTGTGAGGGTCCATGGGGGTCCTGACCACTGAAGAACAGGGTAAAAGGGGGCTAACAAAGTATGCAGAGAAACAGATGGACTACAGTCTGTAATTGTAGAACTACAAAGTGCACCTATATAGTAAGTGGAGCTGATAAAATGGACAATGATGTAGAAACAAGGAGGTGGTCATAATGTTATGCTGGATCAGTGCATATACAACGCATGCGTTCATGTGGTCGCATGGTCATGAAGCGGATACGTATCCGATCTAGGACCACATATATAAGTGGCTCGTGGTCGGATTTGAAAAGATTAGATTTGCGTGTCCACACAGCCCTGAGAACCTCAGATCTGAGTCACGTTAGCGCAAAAAAATGGATTTGTGCCACTTCAACCTGCTAATTTGAACATAGCTTAAAATATATTCATGTCAGAGTGGTAAATCACCATTATCAACATTACACATAAAATTAAAAAGCCACGTGTAGGTCACCTGAGGCAGGTGAGATGGTAACTGAAAATGTATATGTATATTAAATTTGTAAAAACTGTATGTATACCCCCCCCCCCAAAAAAAAAATAATAATAACACACACCCACACAAACACAACCCCTACTCCCCTAAGTTTAACATGGTAATTTTATAGTTGTTGGTCTGTTACCTTTTTTTAACAAACTAACAACACCATGGCTTGACTCTTGACTATTATGGAATTATGATAGTACCATTGCTCTGAGCATTTGATTGAGTATTGGTAGCTTAGTTATTTTGTTTTGCAGATGTTAAATGTTTATTTTCTGTTCTATCCTTTGTTTAAAGGTGCAGTCAGGAGAAACTTCTTTACCTCCAAAGCAACAGTTGGAGACTTTACATATAACATACATACATGTACACGCACACACACACACACACACACACACACACACACACACACACAACGATTTCTAGTTAAAGTTTTCCGCCAGCAAGTTACCTTTAGATGTTTAATTCATTGCATTTTTATTATTGGTGAGCAGTGAGTTTGCATGCACACACACACACAGAGATGCCCACAATTTTTATATCTTGTCAGGATGTGGTATTGTACAAACAACATTTATGTATTATATATATGTAAATATGGCTATATATTAAGTGCTCATTTGCAAAAAACGATAAATGACATACTTTAAAAAGAAAACACAGCGCATTCTGAACCCTAAATATGTTTTGCCACAAAAGCTGTTATTGTCCATTTTCAAAGCAGTGAGCCGTTTGTGATTCAGCCTTAGGTATTTCTGAGGTCTGATCTTCTTGATGTTTAATATGACCATTAATGGGCTGTTTGTGTTGTGTTTTCAGCTCTTTAACTGTTTGTTGTATGTTAAAGAATGTTAAACATTGCACTTAAACAGGCATCCATTACATAGCTTTGTTTAATGACCATTGAAGTTATCCGAATTTGCCAAAAAACAAAATAAAAAAAATCAATAAAGTTTAATTCTGTAAGTTACCTGTATTTTTTGACGTTATTTTATGTAATCAGCACAACCCAAGTGCAGTTTGATTGATATTACCAGGAATTCACAATAAAACCATGATTTATGAAAATTCATTAAAATGGCTGTTTTTGCAAATTAACTCTTCATATATCTATATCAATCTGTATCTACCTATCATGTCCCATGAGTATTTTTGTAATGATAACATGCCACATGAGTACTGTATGTAAAAATGTGTCAATTTCTTAAAAGATTTTTTCTACAGTTAGAAAATTATGCTTCTGTGAATGTATGGAAAGAAGTAGGCACACACTAGTTGTTGGTTTATTAGGTACACCTACCTTGTCCCTACACTCACTTGCCATTTTATCTGAAACACTATTCTCGTGTTTCGCTTGACATCACACTGTATAGTCGCCGTCATTTTGAGGACCGAATCAGGGAGTGACTGCACTAGCATGATGCCTTCAGTTTGCTGTGCTTTGTGAATGATTCACCTGCAAGACGCGACAGAAGCCGAGAATGACGAGAGACTATGCAGACCTTTAATTCAGTGTTTCCAACTCCAGGCTTGGCGCCCCTGCACTGTATAGCTTAGTGTTTTTCTCTGCTGTACACACCTTGTTCAGCTCAAGAAGAGATAAATTAGCTGATAATATGAGGTATTTTAACCAGGTAAACCACAATTATGCAGTGCAGGAGTTGCAGGACTGGAGCTGGGGAACTCTGCACCAACTGCACTAGCAAACTAACAAAATCACGTCTGTTAAAACACTACATAGTTTTGCCAAACCAAACGACATTGTGTAAGAGCATGTTGCAGATAGTTTAATAAAAGGTCATAAAATAAACAGTTTTTCATTATTATTATTATTATTTTTTACATATTTAAGGCATATTAATTTTAATATTTTTTCTGAATTTCAAAGAAGTAGACCTAAAAATATAAGTAATAATTAAATAACAGCTGAGTGAATGAGGGCTATTTGGGTTAATTTTGATTGTTCTGGCTAGGTTCTAGTTGCCAGATCCTGGCCAATGACTTGGTCCAGCTCAAAAAAATCAAAAAATCTGATTTGAGGAACAAATCCGATTTGCATGTAGTCTGAATATAGTAAGAACGGTCAAATCGGAATTAATGTGTTGTTTTATTTTTTTTTACCGCGCGTTCACAATTATTCAGCGTTAATGTGGCAGCAACGCCGAACCTGAGTTGGTGCCAGTAAAGGAGCAAAAGCTTCTGAGACCTTTTCACCTTCGTCTCACTCTACTATTGAACAGCTGTGAGCGGTTCAGAGTGAATAATCTTTGCCGCTAATGCTCGTTTTGTTGGTTAGTATGTTGTCAATGATGCACGTGGTTTATTCACGTGACGTTATTGATTAGGATGTGCGAATGCGGTTTGTTTCAGGACACTTTTCGGTCACATTTCTTACAGATTTGAGTCACTTACCTACACGAATGTGAACCCTTAAGTTAGAAAGATAAGAGCAAAACAAAACAACTGAGCCTTGCAATGTAAATGTAGCCTATAATTTGTTACATCTAGTTTCGGAAATAGACGATTTGGAAACAATGTCCGGCATTTTGAAAAGCTGAGGAGATGACCCCAGCATGAATGAATCTCATGCGTCTATCCCAAATGCAGGCCTCAGTTTACGCACTGACGAGAGTCAACCCTAAGACTAGAACTGCCTCAGCACTGAATTACAGTCTCACCTGACAGGCTGTGCGACACTGTCGAAGGTCCCCTGAAACGGCACAAAGGAGACAGGTAGGGAGAGCTCACGTTTTCTTTGAATTAAACTGAGATCGTGACCAGCGAGATGCTACATGCAGTATCGACATGTTCTCACTCTGATGCGCAACGTTTTAGTTATTCTAGACAATGCTGAAACGGACGATATTAAAACAGTTAAGTTCTAAAACTCGAAATGTTATGTGTTCAACACTTGCTACGTTTAAGGTGTATAATCATTTGCGCTTGATTTTAGATGATTAATTATTCTTGAACTGGACAAAAGGGTACTTAAGTGTTAATCAGTGAGTTGTTGTCAGGCTAGAACGCTTAGCCTGCTAAATGCTAATTAGCTTCCATCGACTACCTAATGAGCAGCTTCCTTAAGATGATGTGATAGCTTGCATTTTTTTTATATTTGTGCACTTAAATTGTGAAATATGGTTACTGTTCCCCTGGTGACACACTAAAGTATTGAAAAATAAACACAATGAAAGGGTTTGAACCTTTTATCAGCGGCCATTGCTTCACAGCCCTCTGTTAGCCATGCGTGGCTGTACAGTTCCAGGATGTGGAGTAAAGCGGGCATTTGCCCCTTTAACCAGGGCTGAAGTTGCTGTCCCACTTCGCCATCGCCCACCGAACCCCTGCCAACGGTTCTGATAGAATGTTGTGCCAAACAAGAGACATTCCTTCACGATATGTTGTCATTGCTTATTCAGAGCTGGTTTAAGGGGAGCAGCTTATTGGCTGAGTGAAGCAGTTTGTGCTCACTGACATCATGAATGTACATTAGGTGCCCTTATAAACTTCTATAACTTCAAAAGCTTAAAAATATAACAGCAGTGTTAAAATATTTTATGCTGTTCTTTGTTCGGGAAATTAATGCATTCTTCTAAATAAAAATGTTTAAGCATTTACAAACTATTGTGTTTTGCTCAATTGCTCCATATTGACCCATTCGTTAAATCAATAAACCAAATTTTCCACCTCATCCAAGTATAAAAACTTTAGGGCTTACTTAAAATTCAGATTACAAAATATAAATATATTTTTAAAAACTGTAAAGTATATGCTCGTATTTTTTGTGTGAGGATTGGTGTAAGACATTTAAAAAAAATATTGTATCCTGCAGTGTTTATGTATGGTTGCTGAATAACTAAAATACACCAAGTTTACAAAGTTATTCTCATCAGTTACAATTTTTTCTTCTTTTTTGACACACCTCCACCTCAGAAAGTTGGAGCTCATAGAGAAATCTGAGTTTCCCTGCTAGTTAATACAACATTGTAATGATGTTCTTGTGCACTTTCAATCTCATAAATACAATACTTATGATATGACTTGAAGGCAGCAAAGGACTGGGACTGATGCATGTTGATCTTTTTACTTACTTAGATCTCTTATTGAGGAATTTTGGAATGAACTCAAAACTTAGGGTGGCTTATAACCAATCTAACATTACGTTTTTTCCCCTCCACAGGATGCGCTGGCACTTTCGCCGACTCCCTTTACTGGTCAAGCTTTTTCTGTTAGCTTTAACTCTTTTCCTGACTCTGTTAATAGTACTGCCAAAGAACATAGGAAAATGGACTTCCTCCAATCAAAACCTGTATGGTCTGTCTCTCAAAAAGAGACAGGTTATTACAACTCCTAGGAGTTCAGCTGACCCATTACCTTTTCAGATCAGAGACCCGTTTTCCCTGTCAGCAGAGGCCTCATCGGTATCCGCACATCCAAATTGTCTGTCTGGGTTCTACAGCCCTGATGAACTTAAACCTCATCTTATGAGACCACTGGAGGACCCCGATGGTCCTGGGGCTAATGGCAGAGCATTCATTCCAGGCACGATGAGCCCAGCTAAGCTGAGAGAGAAGCAGGAGGGCTTGGATAGGAACGGTTTCGACCAGTTTGCCAGTGACCACATCTCTGTGCACCGTAGCCTGGGCAATGATACCCGTCACCCAGAGTGAGTGTTGAAGGGGAAGAGGCTTGAATATGAAAGCAAAAGTTTGATGAAAATTCATACTCGCACAGTTTCCCCCTTACTCCAGAGGTAGTCGACGAACCAAGACATGTTTTCTGTCTGAGGTTTACTTCTGTAGTTTTGCATTGGAGCTAAATAACTAATGCAGCTAATATGTTACAGAAGCGTATGTACACCATTAAGCAATGTGCAGAAATGAACAAAAGGTTAGGTCAGTTTAGCACCTGCACTCTCTGATTACACAGCCATTCTGTGGTAACACATGCAGAATGCTTGGTTTGGTGGTGTCATGTTGAAATAAGAAATAAGCATCCCTGAAAAAGACGGCATTTAAAATGCAGCATTATGCTGCTCCAAAATGTGTTCACCATTAATGGCGCTTTCAGAGATGTGCAGGTTACCCATTAATTAGCCACACTGGCTTTTGAACTTTATGCTAGTCACCTTCTTGTTGCCTATAATACATCACCATTTTAAAGCATGTACATAATTTGCAGTGAGAGCTATCTAGGTTAAAATACAGCTTCCATATGGCAGGGTTAGTTTTATCACTAAGCTTCCTGGAGTAAAAAGTGAGGGAAGGCCATATGTCCTTACATAAATTCAATATTTTTAAATGTTTCTAGTTTAATGGATAGTTTAATTAAAATGTAATGAAGATGTCATTTAAATAAAATATTTCAATTTTGTGAAATTGTCTTTTGTAGTAAAGATTGTTTAAGACAGGTTGTTTGAATAGAAATATATTGATCTGGCTCAAATATTTTAAAGAGGATTTAGCCAAAACCAAAATAGGTTAGGTTGTGCCAACTCTCACCTACATAAGCTTTTATTACTTGTTTGCAATGCTAAAGAAGCAAACTTTGGGCACCTAGAATATATGACTGACCACAAGGAAATGTGAAAATGTTGCCATATTGATGCCAGAAGGAATATTCATTTGTGCACATCTTTTGTAAGGTGTGTGGAGCAGAAGTTCCGCCGTTGCCCTCGCTTGCCGGACACCAGTGTGATCATTGTGTTTCACAATGAAGCGTGGTCCACTCTCCTTCGTACCATTTACAGCATCCTGCACACCTCTCCCGCCATCCTGCTCAAAGAAATCATCCTGGTAGACGATGCAAGTACCCAAGGTAGTAAAGAGGCTGCAAGCTGGGAAATCACAGGAAAACGTGGATGTAACAACTCTTTTCTGTAGCCTTCACTGAGTATGAGGCCTTTAGCAGTCTATCTTTGTTTTGTTCTTTTGTTTTCTTACTCAGACCATCTGAAAGCTCCTCTGGATTTGCATGTGCAGCCTCAGAAGATTGTACGTGTTCTGCGGCAGAAGGAGAGGAAAGGTCTGGTTGCTGCTCGGCTGCTGGGAGCCCAAGAGGCTAAGGGAAATGTGCTAACGTTCTTGGACTCTCACTGTAAGTTACATTTGCCTAGCTCCATACTGAATGGCTGAGAACATCTGTAACACCTCCCACAGTACAGCACAGTTTGGTGATTTTCGCTAAACATGGTAACTAATTGGATGAGCAGGGAGATTGCCAAACTTTGCTGAACTTAGGCCCTTTGTGATCAGAGCTAGACACACCTGATTTATAACATTCAACATGTTTTTGTTTTTCCCACATTTAATCCATCTTTAAATCCATTTAATCTGTTTTCAGGTGAGTGTTTCCATGGTTGGCTGGAGCCTCTTTTAGCTCAATTACGTGAGCAACCCACGGCTGTTGTGAGTCCTGAAATCGCTGTCATTGATTCAAACACACTAAGGTTTACCAAGCCGCTTCCCAGTGTCCGCGCCCGAAGCCGTGGAAACTTTGACTGGGGACTGAGCTTTGGCTGGGAAAATATCCCTGAATCAGAGAGACTGAAACGAACAGATGAGACTTATCCTGTGAAGTGAGGACACTTATCTCTATTCTGTATTCATACCTGCTTTCCCCCCTCACACGTGTTGTCAGTTTATTACGTATAGCCACCTTGTACATGCACTCATCGGCCATTTTATCTGGTACACCTTCCATAGAGATGCACTTTGTAGGTTTCCAGTTACTGACTGTAGTCCATCTAATGCGGCATTTGTCAACCATCTCCTAATCTCTCCATGAAAAAGGACCACGGCTGACCAAATATTTAGGTATACCACTCTCAGCACAGCAGCAGCACTAACGTGGCCTGTTTGTGTGTTGTGCTGGTATGAGTGTATCAGGCATTTTGTTTAAACACTGTGGCCACTTTATTAGAAACATTGACCTTGTTGGTACACCCAGTAGGTGTAGATTTAGAGACAATATGGTTCATCACCCAAATAATATCTGATCAATAGTGGTCTTATGGTAGTCCAGGCACATACAAGGCGGGTGTACCTAAGACACTGAAAACTCACTTAATACTTTACATCTTTACAAGTTACTCTATAAAACTAATTCAAATCTGTACCAATTTAAAGGAATATGCAGTAGTTCTTTTTTTATTTAGAAAGAAACAGCAGTACACATAATTTAAAAGGGCATGCCACTTTCTCTGCCCTTGCTCTGAACAAGACATAACCAGTTATTCTTGATTAAAATTAGGTGAAGTTGGACTCTCTTCTTTGGCAAGTAGATTTTTATCCGTATTGTTTACATTTGCATGAATAGATACAGAAATATAGTACAGAATTTTTTTTTAATTTATTTAATCTATTTGGAGGAAATGTAGCTCTAACCAATAGAATGAACAATGACTATAGGTACATTATAAGTGTACCTAATAAACAGGCAACTCTGGGTAGTATCCACCAGAATATAATCAACAAGCAAGAGAAGAGTATTTGATGTAACCTGTTTATTCATATTCCAATTAAATTGATTTAGTTGTTCATATTTCAGAACTCCAGCTTTTGCTGGTGGTCTGTTCTCCATCTACAAAGACTTTTTCAACCACATTGGGACCTATGATGGCCAGATGGAGATTTGGGGAGGAGAGAACATTGAAATGTCTTTCAGGGTGAGTTTTATCAATTTTAAGGCTATGTTGTTGCTTAGATTGGTTTGAATAGATTTAAAAGGGGGCTTCAGAAGTTGAGGAATTGGACCAGTTCTAGCACAGGGGACTTGTGTATGAAGTGTATAGTGGGATTCAGTGACTTGAAAAAAATGCAGCCTCATGCTAACCCCATGTGGTGAGTTTTTGATACCTCCTCAGGTGTGGATGTGTGGCGGTCAGCTAGAGATTGTGCCCTGCTCTGTGGTGGGCCATATTTTCCGCACCAGGACTCCCCACTCCTTCCCTAAAGGGTTAGAAGTGATCGTGTGCAACCAGGTGCGGGCGGCTGAGGTCTGGATGGATGACTACAAGAATGTGTTCTACCGCCGGAACAAAAAGGCTGCTTCTATTGCACAGAGCGTAATAGATAAAGATACATAATAGATAATCAGACTTGTTAACCTAAATTGTAAATCAAGTATTTTTAAAACTCAAAGAACATGACCCAGTAATGTGCACTGTTCTCAAAACACTAAATCAACACTAAAAGTTCTCTGCTGTCATTTCTCAACTGACTTGGCAATGCTAATGTTGATCACTCCTCTCCTCTTTGCTCGGAGGACGGCAGAAGTCTTATGGTGACATTTCTGAGCGTTTGGAACTCAAGGAGAAGCTGCAGTGTAAAAATTTCTCTTGGTACCTGGAGAATGTTTACCCAGAGGTTTTTGTGCCAGAACTTGCCCCAGCTCTGTTCGGATCGGTAATGTTGGAACTGATGTAGCAAATGATTACATATAGTCTAAGTTGCAGGGGTTGAATGTCAGTTTGGTTGATTTAAGGCATTAATAGAGCTTTGTTTTGTTTGCTAACATCTAAATTTTACTGAACAAGCATTTAAATTGTCCCCTGAATTCACCAAACTGAACAGGCCCAGCACTGATTTACTTTAGATATTTCTCATAAGGAGTTTTTTTATTTGTTGTTGGCAATCCCAGTATCCCTTATGACTGTGTTTCCAGCTAATGAACATGGGCTCACACACCTGCCTTGATATTGGCGAGAGGAAGCCTATAAAGAGAGCTGTGATTCTATACAAATGCCACTACATGGGTGGTAATCAGGTACTGTCAATACTCAGAAAACTAAAGCCTGAGTAGACTGATAAATCAGTTGAATCATTTATTCATTACAGTGTTACTGAGCTTTGCTAAAGCCTGGGCAGACTGAAAAATCAGTGATGTGATGATCAGATATTAATCTCAGTGTTACTTAGCTCTAATAAGGCTTGAGTAGACTGATAAATCAATGTGATGATTCAGTTATTTATCACAGCGTTACAGAGCACTTTTGAGGGATGATCAAATTCCAGCTAGGGTGATTATGGGAGCAGCAGTGAACTGAAGCAGGCTGTTCAAAACTTTATTCAATTGATAAGTGAATAAAATAATGTTGGCGTGAATTCTGTGACTTATAATCACAACCCTACAGCGGTTATAATTTGCAGATGGTGTTGCTGAGAATACAAGAACATGACTATAAGCATGTTCTACCTGAATCCGTTTAACTGCATAATATCTGTTACATTTTACCCCACGTTAGTTTGTGACCTACTAACCCATAATTGCTAGATGTCTAGGCTGGTGTCTCCTGAAATATAACAACTGAAATGTCAAGTCATAATCATAACATAAAATGCCTTATAAACATACCCAAATTTTCTCTCCAATTCCACAGCATTTTGAATACACGGCGCATCAGGAGCTGCGCCACAACACCGCCATGCAGCTGTGTTTGCACGCAACGATTGAGCCAGAGCCGGTCCGCATTGAGCTGTGCAACTATAAGGGCGGCAGCACCGTCCCAGCCCCACAGCAGCAGTGGACTTTAAAGCTCCTGTCACCACTGGTACAAATACTTCACTGTGATATTCAGTATATTTATAATATTATTCACTTTTAAAAATACTTATTGATGAATAGTTGTAGTGATTAGAGTCGTGCCAATGTTTAGGGTAAAGTTACATTTTGTTGATTTTTCTAAGCAAAAATAGTTTAACACCTCCTCTACAGAGAACACACTTCTGCACATTTAATGTGCAATTGCAACATATATGTGTGTGTGTGTGTGTGTGTGTGTATGTGTGTGTATATATATATATATATATATATATATATATATATATATATATATATATATATATGTATACACACACACACACACACACACACACATATATATATATAATCTGGCCTGTGCAAAATTCTGGTACATATTATTCTGTATGTTTTTTATTTTTATATTTCCATTTTTAATATATTTTTTATTTTCCAATATGTTAAGCTCCAAATTTGCAGAAAAATACCATATTGAAGTTTTTACCCTGTAAAAGATATGCTAACTTATTTTCACTCAGAAAATCAACAAAACATGTAATTTGACTGCAGGGATTAAACCTTTTGCATATGACTGTAAATCCACTTTGTATAAGTTATTATGTATAAAATAACAAACTGCTAATATGGCAAGTGATTAAACTTTTGAACAGTAGTTTATATCTTACCCTTTTGTATATTGTTTGTTTCCAGTGTTATCTTCTGGAAAGCGAAGTGTTTAAGAAATGTCTAACAGTGGAGGGAGAAAAAGCCATCATGAAGACCTGCAACCCTGCTGATAAATACCAGCACTGGACATTTAGCCCCTGATGCATCTGTAACAATTTAGTATCTTGCTTACTCTGTATTCTAATTCATCTGTCAATGAGAGCAGAGTTTTCACAGACTGAAAAGAGGTGACTTGTCAGATGCGTGTGTATGTGGACTGCATTACTAGTTCTTGATCATAGTTATTAAAAACCTTCGAATTCACTGCGTTAAACCTGCTTGTAGATAAACGTCTTTTGTCTAATTGCAGGCAATTGCGTCTTTTTGCGTCAAGCCAACTCACTTTAGCCTATATCCTCACAAGTGCTGGTCTGTTACGTCGGGCTGTGAGGAAAAATCTTGCCATGGATTTTTCAGTACACTAGTTCGCGCTATTGAGTCGTGGGTTGTAGGAATAGAGAACTTTTGTTGTCTCTCGTGAAGTTACGCTACATACTTCTGGAGCGAATTTGACCAGCAGTCTGATACTCGGGCGTGGAAAAAAAAAATAGCGTTTCTGCTCGACCTAGTCAATCTTTACTGATTGGTCTCGGATGAGCACACGAGCCCCTCCTGTTCATTCTTGGCCCCGCCCATTCTGCGTTTTCTGTGAGAGCCTCGCCAGTGACGTCACCACGCCGAACAGGGATGGGAAGTGGAGCGAGTGCTGGTGAGTTTCTGTCTAAACCAATAATATCGCACAATTCAGCCGAGTCATTGTAGTGGGGAACGAGGAAGCGCCTTTGAACTAACGTACAGCTGGTGAGCGCTAACTTCCACAGCTTTCCTGACTCCGGCTTTTGCCTTTCCGCTCTTGTGTTTTCTTCTGTGTTTTAACCGTGAACGGATAGATGTGAGTAGCTCGTTTTTGTGCTGTGTTGTTTTTGTGTTTTGTAACTGTCACATCACCGTGATGTTCAGGGTGCACATCACATGAACGACACAGACCATCGGCAAGCTAGCTTTAAGCAATCGCTATAATCTGTACAGATTCACTTCAGCATAGCCTGGTACTTCAGTGCATAAACCTGAGGAGATGTGCGGAATTAGATGTGGCAGGATCGGCTGTAGGACCGGCAAGATTTAGCCCTTTTAAATACGGGATTTGACGGAGGCTCTTAGCTAATAACATTATAGGAGTATTAGCTCAAGGAGTTAATTGGGTTAGTAATTTTAGAGAATCTGAACTGAAGTTGACTTATTCACCTGCTTATTATTTTCCAGTGATCCGTTCCACCTTAAATGGTGCAGCGGTTCTGCCGTATGCCTCGCCATTTAAGGTGGAACGGGGAAATTCGAATAAGAAGCTGGCGACTAAGTTAACTTGTTAGCAGAGTGCACCTGAGCACGTTGTACTTGTGACGTTGTGTTTGTTTTTATTTTGCACCACAGAGGAGCCGAACCGAGTGATCCGAGGGCAGCCGGGTAGGCCTGTGTGTTTATGTGGTCTTGTGAAGTGATGTGCATGCAAGATGCTCAGATACAGCCAGACCCTCCGTGTTGTGAAGTGTGCTTGTGTGTCTGTGAAATGTTCATGTTGGCAAACAATCACTCGTTATAATATTTTACTTTAACAGATGAATAGCATGGGTAAGGAACTAAACGGCTGAATGTAACTATTATTAAGCATGTCGATTCCTCCTCTTTCTCTCTAGAATAGTTATTGGAAATTGAATCCTTGTTCATGCTTCTCAGTGGCATTTAGGCTGCGTTCTCATTATACTTCTCTTGACTTTATCGATTTCCCATTCTTTGCCCTTCGGTGTCTTAAGTGTGTTTTGGTAATCACACCATCTTGTCACGATTTGTGCATGCAAAAAAAATCTCAAAAGCTGTTTTGCCTCTTTCACTTATGAGTCTTATTGATATAGGGCTTCGCCCAAAAAGTAATCTGTAGGAACTTGATAGATATATCTGCTTCTGCTTTTCCCATCAACTGAATTAGACTTAAAAAGTGGCTTTAAGTCAAGGGTATTAAGAATTCCCTGTTCACTGCTGATCAATGTTACTGTGTAATTATGGCTTTCAAGTAGTTCAGTAATATTAAGGGTACATGTCTGAGATACTTGATACTAGTTTGCATGCCCTTGATTATATAGTTTGCCATCTAAAATCTCTGTTTATTGCCATGATAAAAATTGAAGTACACTAAGTAAACGCAGCGTAACACTTTTTATTGTTTATAATCCCTGATTTGGCTACATGATAGATGATCAGAATAGTAGTTGGATAAGCACAGGTCATATAGTTCTCATAGAATGTGGTATCAGTCAGTGAGCATGTTTACTGATATCGAATGACCCAGGAAATTTCGTGTTTACTTCCTGGAACTTCTGAGGATGAAAAAAGGCAGTGCACATAAAGCAAAAAGTATATAGGTTAGCAGAAACGTACTATAAAAGGTACCCTAGAGACAAATCTTTAACCCTTTTTAAATGCTTTTACAGAGAAGATGAGTGCCCTCCCCCTCTCTCGCTCCGAGGTGTTCGGGGAGCTGAGGAAAGAGCTGTATGAGGATGAGGAATTTCACCAGTCCGACGTGCACATCTTCATCATCATGGGGGCCTCGGTGAGTTAGAATTTGTGAGAGGAGGATGGGGATGTTCTGAAGAGTCTTTTCAAAGCTGTTTTTCCAACATAAAATCCACAGACACTGGTTTAGTGCCACTTCTGAAGAGATGGCTTGATATGACCCTATGATATCTTCATTATCTCGTGGCATATGCAGTTAGTGGCACTCTGTCTTGCCCATAAGGTGACTAGATGTTCTGGCTTTTCCTTTTTCTTTTCACAAATCAGATGATACCAGCTCTTATTTCATAGCTTCACCCAGTACAGAAGGACATGTCTCAGATATCCCTTCACAGCTTTGTCTGTCTTTGAGGGGGAAGTAAAGGTGCCGTTTCACAATTGAGGAAAGGAAAGATTACTGGACTTGAATGAGGAAATATGCTTCATGTAGACCGTATAGGGGATTGGGTAACACAGCAAATCAGTCAAGTTATGGACCATTCATGGCCTTGAATTCTGACTGGTTAGTTATGATGACAGCAGACCACTCACTGGCCGACTGTTACGAAAGCATTGTTTGGTTTGGTCTGGTAGACGGTATGCTTAAAACTGGGAACTAACTAGTAGAGGAAGATTGTAGAAGATTGCTATGACTATAGCATAAAAACTGTAGCTTAAAAACAAAACTGACCACTTTATTTAAAGGGAATTCCACAGTTTTTCAAATATTCAACATACATACAATGTTAAGATCTGAAATGTTTAATGCGTGTTTTGAAATGGAAATGTTTACGAATATGTTGATTGATGTCTGAGACACTAGCTTATGGTAATTTAGACCTAAAATATGGTTGTTTTTGTTTATCGTTTATTTCTTTTTTTCATGATGGAGAGGTACAGTACATCCAGGTTGTTGGAATATATTGCCCAAAGAAAACTTGTGCATTTAGGTTTACCATTGTGTTAACATGATTGGCATTACAATGAAGACATGTATTGATCACTCAATGTATTGATTTTCTTGCATAGTAAATATATTCATGTTGTACACATGGCAACCTCTAGTTGCCATCACCACCACCATAAAGACATCTGATTCAATATATTTGTCAACAGTGCACACAATTCTCTACAATTTCACATCAAACTACTTTGAATGACTTAATTCTGTCACTGAAAAGGAAATAATGTCAAAAATTTGAAAAGTAGGAATTGCCTTTTTTCTCTCCTTTTAAGTAGACTAACTTTAAATAGTCTGATAAAATCCTATAGCAAATGGAGAAAATGTTGGTTTTGGCATTGCCTTTCTTTTAGATTACATAACATTACTTCTCTTTAGGTAAATAAATATAAGCCAACACCCTTTTTTTCTCCGCACCTTTAAAATTAACCCAGATATCAGAAGATATATAGAAGATCTGGGGGTATAAGGCAGCACATATACTCATCATGGACTGGCCTCCCTCTTTTCTGTTTGTTTTTGCAAAATAGGAGTGGTGCGACTGAGCCAGATTGTGCGGTATCATTCCTAGTCAGCACTTTTCTTTCAGCAGACTGGAGAGAGGGGGAGGAGAGGTCATGGCTAGGTTATTGTAGCATTGGTGGCCTTAGCTTTGGCACTGTGCTGAAACACGTAGGCATACAGCCTAACATTAAGCAACAACTAGTATATGCTAGTACTAGTATGGCCTGCTGTCCTCATATTCTCAAATGAAACTGTTTTGGGCCGTACTGCATATTGCATTTGTGCCCAGATTTTCTTGTTAGCTAACTTTCCGTTTTAGCTGTTTCATCTTGAATATTAGAAGCAAACTGCCTACACTTGTAACTGGGCCAGGCTGCTACAGCCTTGTATTTACGGCAGAAAAAGAGCTCTACTGTGTATAGGCTTAGTTTGTTTTAGCATAGGGAGGAGAAACAATTACAGCCTGGGTGTGGTATTGTCAGGCAGAGAAATAGAAATGCTGTACAAGGGCCATTTCAGGAGAAAAATACCTTTGTGAAGAAGTTGCAGAAGGTAGTGGAATTAATAGAGCACCTAGAATTTAATACATCCCTATGTGGAATAAGCTTGTCTTCTTGGCTTTTTTAGACAGTTTTATCATTTAATGCGGGGGTGTTTAATTCCAGTCCCAGCCAGTGGCCAGCACAGTTTGGGGATTTTATTGTTCAAAAATACCTGAAATATCTACTCTGTTAATTAGGAGCTTTATTTGGTGTGTTTTGAGCAAGAAACTGTGCTGGACACTGGCCCTCTGGGACCTGAATTGACCATCCCTGATATAACATGTTGCTGAACAAAGCCATTTTCTTCTAGATCATTAGGAACTCTCTGAAAGCCACATTATTCTCCTGTAGAGCTTTAGTGATACTACTTTTTATGGCTTAATTGAGAGTTTAGTGCTTTATTTTTTCTAGCACTTTGCTTAGCTTGAAAGCGGCTCCCAAAACAGCAAAATAGCCAATTTTGGTTAATCATCATAAGTCCTAAGGGACAACATATTAAAAGATCAGATCTGGATGATAATTCATTACACAGGCAGAAGTAGTACAATTTGAATGTTCATGATCTCTTCTGTGATATATGATTTATAGCATTCATTGTGTTGTTCCAAATTCACTCCATGAAATCTGCTCAGAGTGAAAAATCTTTGCCCTTTTTTCTCGCTCAATATGTAGGGAGGTCTTATGTGAAATTCCAATAGGATGCTGCGTATAGAATAGCCCCACTGTCAGAACAAAACCTTTTGCCAGCTTTCTTTTTTTCCCCCCACACAATTTTAAATGCCAATTTCATGACAAATTGTCCAAAATAGCCTAAAATAAGTTATTCCATTTAAAATGCACAGCCTCTTTCATTGTTAGACTTGGTAAAGGCAAAAGACTGGGTGTGTAAAGAATGTGTAAAGTCATCCTTACCGAGCACGGATCCCTTTGATAAAACATGCCATGACTAATTGATTAACTAACCGCTGTATCTGTTAAGAAAACTGTGGCTGTGCCTCGCCCATTAAGGCAAAGCCCAAACACTCAGTCTCCTTAGTTGCCATAGAGCAGGGTATCATTTATAACTCACCCTTTGCTTTGGGATTCTGTTGTTGTAAGAAGATATAATTTTACATTTAGGGTGGGCATTTTCATGTTATTGTGCTAACTGAAGGAGTGTTTGATTTGCTTTAGGAGTATTACTGAATTTGGTGTTATTCAGTTGTGTATTTCTACAAATTCAATTCCAAAAAAGGTGGGACAGTAGGTAAAATTAAACAAAAAAGAGAAAGCCGTGATTTGTAAACCGCCTTACAGGTATTTTATTGAAAACAGCACACGGATCAATAAAGTTGATATTTTGTATTGAATTTATTTATTTTACTTTTTTTTTGTAAATATACACTAATTCCAAATTTGATGCCTGCATCACATTCCAAAAAGTTGAGACCAGGGCACTGTAAGACTGGAAGTTTGCAGAATTGGGTCACAGAATGGGTCGCATTTGTAGAAATCTCTGTGTGGCCTGTGACCTTAAAACTCTCAGACAGCACTGCATTAAACACCAGCATGCTTCTGTAATGAATATAACCACTTGGCTCGGCAATACATCAGAAAACACAGTTCAGTGCTGCTCTAGAAATGCAAGTTAAGCCATCTATCAACAACATCCAGAAAACGCTGCTGACTTCTCTGGGCTAAAGCTAATCTGTGATGGACTGATGCAAAGTAGTCAAGTCAAAGTTTAATTATATAGAGCCTTTTTACAACAGGCATTGTCACAAAGCAGCTTGATAGAAAAAAATCAAGGCTTAAGCTCCCATGAGCAAGCTAGCGGTGACAGTGGCAAGGAAGAACTCCCAAGAGCAAGAGAAGGAAGCATTAAGAGGAACCAAGACCCAAAAGGGGAACCCATCCTCGTCTTGTCGATACCGGATAGCAAAACAGTAACAAAAGACCAATATGCACAGAGAATAAGGATTTGCTATTTATGTAAGATACTAAAACACAGAAAAAGTCGCCAGTGAATTGAGCTGTTGGGGGCTATTCATTGTTTTGTCTGTTGTTTGCCATTCTGTTTTTTCTCCACTTGTTTGATTGTTTGGTCCCTCAAATAAAAAAAATAAAAAAAAAACACACAGAAAAGAGGAAAAGCAGGTGAAGCAATGGCTGTAACTAAATAGTTTGAGTCTGGGCAGCAGCAGTATCATCAGGAGGGTCAGTGGCATGCAGGTGAGGTTGCACAGCTTTGTACAGCAGAAAGCTCCAAACTGGTCAAGAAGGCGGGCAAGCAGCGGGCACCTGATCAAGACAGAGGAAGCAACAGCATCAGACCACACAGGATGGGCAGTTGTTCAGCTCAGCAAAGAAACACACAGACAGTTAGTTCTCTTAAGAGAGACTGATTATAGTACGCAGTGTCAACAGAGTGCAGCAGGGAATCTGGCAGTTCGAGCTATTACAGCCTAACTAAAAGGGAGAGCCAGAAGGTAAAGACATGAGGGCTCCCTGAGCGCCCCTCCACTCCACTGACAGCAAACTTGAGTCAACGTGTGAGAGCAGCAGGGCGACAGCCCCAACACTCCCAGTTTACCATAACACTCTGTCCATGAGGCCCCAGATCTGCACCTTTTATCTAATGGGAAAAACTAATTACTAACTAAAGAAGTAGGTTTTTCTGCCTAGACTTAAATACTGAGGCTGAGTCCCAAACACTGACTGGAAGATTATTCCGAAGTTGGGGGGCTTTGTCTGAGAAGGCTCTACCCCCTGATGTAACTTTATTAATTCTCGGTACTAACAGTAAGCCAGCACCTTATGATCTAAGTAGGCATGATGGTTCATAGTATAAGAAAAGTTCACTCAGGTACTGAAGTGCGAGTCCATTTAGAGCTTTATACGTCAGTAAAAGAATTTTGTACTCAATGCGGTATTTAAATGGCAACCAGTGTCGGTTTAATAAACCTGGGCTGATATGGTCAAACTTTCTAGTTCTTGGAAGGACTCTGGCTGCAGTGTTCTAGACTAACTGAAGCTTGTTGAGGCATTTGCTGGAGCATCCAGACAACAGGGCATTACAGTAATCAAGCCTTGAGGTAATAAATGCAAGGGCTAGCTTTTCTGCATCCAGTAGAGACAGTGCATTTCTTAATTTGGCTATATTGCGAAGGTGGAGGAAAGCTATTCTACTAATATTGATTATGTGCGTCGAAGGACCAATAGGGATCAATCGTGACACCAAAGTTTTTTCAGATGTACTTGATGCAACTGAGAAACAATTAAGTGCTAAATTAGACCGTTTGTTTCTAGCAGCTTTTGGGCCAAGAATAAGAACTTCTGTTTTGTCTGAGTAGGAAAAAGTTATTTAAATCCAGTCTTGTATGTCGTTTATACAGTCCACAATCTGATTAAGTTGATGTACATTTAAAAAAAAATATATATATATATATACACACACACACACACACAGCCCCCTTTTACCCTGTTCTTCAGTGGTCAGGACCCCCATGGACCCTCACGGAGCAGGTACTCCTACCATGTCAGTCCACCTTGTAGGTGTAAAGTCACAGATGATAGCTCATCTGCTGCTGCACAGTTTGTGTTGGTCATCCTCTAGTCCTTCATCAGGGGTCACAGGACGCTGTTGGCTGGATATTTTCGGTTGGTGGACTATTCTCAGTCCAGCAGTGACACTGCGGTGTTTCAAAACTTCAGCAGCACTACTGTGTCTGATCCACTCAGACCAGCGCAACACACACCACCACCACATCAGTGTTACTGCAGTGCTGAGAATGATCCACCACCCAAATAGTACCTGCTCTGTGAGGGTCCATGGGGGCTGATAAAATGGACAGTGAGTGTAGAAACGAGGTGGTCATAATGTTATGCCTCATCTGTGTGTGTGTGTGTGTGTGTGTATGTGTGTGTGTATATATATATATATATATATATATATATATATATATATATATATATATATAAAAATATAAACGCATGCACACAATTGTCATCAGTGTAGCAGTGGAAATACCCAGTGGCAGCATATATAATGTGAATAATAGAGGCCCTAAAGCTTTGTGATACACCATACTTTAGATGATTCCCTGTTTACATTCACAAACTAATAGCGATCAGTCAGGTAAGATCTGAACCAGCTGCTCTTATTACTCCTACAAGGTTTTCTCTTCTATTTCTTCCCGATTGTTACCAGCACAAAGTTCAACAGCCAGCCTCTGTCATGTAACTTGCACACCTGTGAAGGCACCAGTAGTGCTGAGGGGTACATACACGTTTTGGAGCATCTGAGCCATCTAGACTACATAGTTTTCAGGGATGTTCCTGCTTGTTTTAGCCTGATGATGCCAAGCCATGTTCTGTATGTGTTGCAACAGCAGGGCTTCGTAGTCAGAAAGTGCAGGTGTTAGACTGGCCTGCCTGCTGTCCAGAACTGTCTCCCATTGAAAACATGTGGCGCATTATGACATGCAGTATACTTCAATGGAGAACCTCAGCTGTTGAGCCACCGAAGTGTTACATCAAGGAATCCTCTGTTCCCAAACGTTTACAGAAATGTGAAAAGTAAATGTAATGTTACACAGTAGTAGGCATGCCCTTGTCCCAACTTTTTTGAAATATGTTGAAGGCGTCAAATTTAGAATAAGCATGTATATTTACAAAAATCTGTACATTTAATTAGTTAATAATTATCTTGTCTTTGTATTGTTTTCTTTTGAATACACACCAAAAAGGATTTGCAAATCATCATTTTTTTAATTTCCACATGTATGTCCTACTGTCTCAACTTTTGAAATTGAGTTTGTAATTTGTCTTCTATTATTTTAATGGTCCCATTGCCTGTTGGGTTGAATTTATTGCTACTGACTTATCCAGCCTTCCAAATCAATTTAACCGTTATCATAGTAAGAAAACACATGACTGACCTGATAACAGCGTTTTCATTGATTTTGTGTGTTGCCACATCTCTTCAGGCTTTACAGTGAGATTATAGCCATTGGGTAACTCCCATTTTAGGCCAGATTATGTACGAAGTGGAAATAGTTGATGTTTGTTGACTTGTGCAAGTTTATCTGGGTAAACTGTGATGACATGCATGAGGTTTCATTGCAGCTTTTATGTAAGCAGAGGCTACTTAGTAAGTTTTATATTTGTGAAACTTGATGGGTCACTCAATGAGATCAGTGTCTGACGTTATTGATGTTTGACACTTGTGCAGTAATTATCAGTAATAAATCAGTGTTGCATCACAGAAGGAGTATTAGTTTAAGATTCATCTAATATTTAGTCAGAATACTTGGCTAATGACCAAACATATGGCTAATTGTCAGGGAAAATTGTGTTTTTGGCAAATCTGACTTAGTTTTATTCATATACATCTCACTAGGGGGACAACTATGCATCATGAAATTGTGATATCACAATGCAAAACTGTAACAGTGAGTGTGTTTACATGCACTTAATAATCTGATCATATGCGGGTTTCTGCAGTTATCTGATTATTCAAAGGGTCATGTAAACAGCATACTTTGATTTCTTAGATTGGAGTATGGTCTAGAAATGCAATTAAGAAATCCAATAAAGATAGCTGGATTTGGAGCAACACTCAAACCAACTACAAGCAGGATGTAAAATGAAGAATTTAAATATTCTCCGTCTGTATTTTCTTCATCCTCAGGTAAAATGACTGTTTTTAAAAAAAAAAAAAAATGCTGCAGCATGATGATGAATTTTACATTACATTACATTACGTCACGTCTTCTGTGAGTTTATTGGCGGATTGCGAAGCAGAAATCAGATTACTCCCTAACTCATGTAGACCCGGAGTTTTCCCGTTATCTAATTACCCCAAGCGCATGTAAATGCGTTGATGTAACTACTAACAAAATCTGATTTTCTGCATTTATTGGATTATTAAGTGCATGTAAACACACTCGGTGTGCATCATAGAGGTGTGACAATGCATTGTAGATGATGGACATTCTATTAAGTACACTATCTAATGCAACCACATTGTTTAAACACCAATGTTCACAAACTATTAGCACCGATCAGCACCTCACTCAAGCGTTGCTCCTGCCTCCCAGCTCTAGTGCCATTACTAAGCTGTGCAACAACATGATAGTCATCATTTTACTTCATTTGAATTTTGTTCTAAATATTGTCAGAATACGGAATTGTGGACCCGGTATTGTAAATCGAACTATGTGTATTGTTACACCTATTTTATGCTTATTGATATCAGCTGTTGATATTCAAAACCGCATGCCTTATATTTTTCCCTTTTTATTTTTAGGGAGATCTGGCAAAAAAGAAGATTTACCCAACTCTGTGGTAAGAAGTCTGTTTTGTTAGTATGCTTTTGTATGACATAATTGCATTGGACAAAGTATTGTTTCTCTGTCTCTCTCAGGTGGTTGTTCAGAGATGGTCTTCTCCCTGAACAGACTTACTTTGTTGGCTTTGCACGTTCTGACCTAACTGTGGATGCCATTCGCACAGCCTGCCTGCCTCACATGAAGGTAAGTCACCCCCTCTGTGAAGGTGTGTCTCTGTGTGTATGTATATACTCTCTGAAATCTCTGTCGATTCCTTTTCTCAGGTTGCAGACTCCGAAGTGGACCGTCTCTCAGCCTTCTTCAGACGTAATTCCTATATCAGTGGGAAGTATGGAGATGAAGCTGCTTTCTCAAATCTGCATTCTCACCTGCTGTCCCTACCTGGAGGAGCTGATGCAAACCGCCTCTTCTACCTCGCCCTTCCACCCACTGTTTACCATGATGTCACTAAGAACATCCGACATCACTGTATGAGCACCAAGTGAGGAGCAGGGAGCTTTCAGTTGGCTTACTTACATTTAAAGTGATAGTTTGGTGGAAAGTCTTATTTACAGAATTTGTTTCTTACCACAGATGTTGTAGATCAGCCAAGACCTATATGTGGTGTCTGCAGTTTGCTTGTTTAGTTTTGCACTGGAGCAATGTGGACGTAGCCAACAAGCACCGAAAGCTGATAGCCCTCCTATTAGCACAGTGCAAATTTCATGACTGAATCATCACTTACTTGCCTTAAACCATCTCCATCTGTTAATCAAGTCCATTTAAAATTGCTTGTGGTTAATGACAATGCATAATGTGTTGTATTTCCAAAAACAATTGTAGCAGCCATCTTGAAGCCTGAATTTTGCCCGTTTTTGTAGAGGAGTCAAGTGGTTGGAGGCAGGTGTACAATGATTCAGATATGCAGTTTGCACAGTGCTAATTGGTGGGGTATAAGCATCCATTACTTGTTAGCTTCATTAACCATAAACCATAAACATAGGTTTAGTGCAGAACTAAAGAAGCAAACCTGGAACACCTAACCTTTCTGGCTTAACGCTGCACTATATAAGATTTGAGTTTTTCGGACAGAAATGCATCTGATCCTTTTGTCGCCTTTTTTCTTGGTTTAATAATAATTGTTTAGAGCAAAATATCTTCACCATGAAGGCTTCTTCTAAAGGTTAGTTTGTTGTTCATGATGCACGTTCATTCACATGCCATTAATGATTAGGATGTGCTAATGCTGGTCGTTTAAGGAACAGTTTCATCTGATTCACTTACTTACATGGATATGAACGATCATGACAGAAAAATCTGATCTGAACAAAAAATAGTAACGCGCAGTGAGGCTTGTAATGTGAATGCAGCCAAAATGATGCATATTTCAACAAAAGTGGTTTCCAAATCCTCAAGTTTTTCATAGTGTAGCTTTAATTTGCGTTAATGAGAAAAATTATGTAATTTTTTTGCCAAGCTGTTGCTTTAAGACCTCTGTGCAGAAGGTAATGTGTGATAGTAGATTATCTGAGAATGAGAATGGGATGCTGTATGACTTCCAGGGGATGGAACAGAGTGATTGTAGAGAAGCCGTTTGGGCGTGACCTGCAGAGCTCTGAGGAGCTGTCCAATCACCTCTCCTCTCTCTTTACTGAGGACCAGATCTACCGCATAGACCATTATCTTGGCAAGGAAATGGTGCAGAACCTTATGGTCCTCAGGTGAGCTCCTTTTGCTTCCTGTTATTTTAAGCAATTTCCTTGCTCTGATTTTTTTTTTTCTTCCTCATTTCTTTTTTGTCTGTGTTTGTTAAGCACAAAACATTCACCTATTCTCTTAATGCACCCCGTCGCAGGTGTTTTCCCTCTTCCTCTTCTGCCATTCACTGGTTGTCAAAAGCAACTGTTATTCTTGCATAATGTCTGCATAAATACAATTTGAAAGGTCTTGTCCTATAGCAGTAATGGAAGAATGGGAGTTGTTCCTCACAAATAAATTCTCTTATCTAGGTTTGGAAACAGGATATTTGGACCCATATGGAACCGAGACAGTGTGGCTTGTGTGGTTCTGACCTTCAAAGAACCCTTTGGAACCCAGGGCAGGGGGGGATACTTTGATGACTTTGGCATCATCCGGTAAGCAGAATTAGATTGCACTTACATTTCTGGCTAATTTTAAAATAAGAGCAGTTGAAATGGGTAGCTACGCCCTGGATATGCATTACATATTAACATGTTTATGAGACCTGCAACTAAGTTAATTAGGAAATGCATAGGATTCCTCTCATACCATATTTGAAACTGGAGCATCCTTGTTAACCTTGGAGTAATGTTGATCTCTCAGTACCCAGGCAGAGTTCTGTAGATATTACTAACCCGTTCCTCCAGTTGCATGGTTTGCTAATTGATATTTGATTCCACTCCCCTGCGCCCCCCTCTCACTCCTGTCTAGTGATGTCATGCAAAATCACCTGCTGCAGATGCTGTGTCTGGTTGCCATGGAGAAACCCGCCTCCACCAGCTCTGATGATGTGAGAGATGAGAAGGTAAGCAGCCTGCCAGGAAATTAAGTTTAGCCCTGCTCTGCTAAACCAGTCCTGAGGGGTTACGCAGACTTCTCTAAGGGGTGTTTTGTAACCATAGAAACTCCTGAGAGTTTGCCTTCGGGTGACACTCGTTCAATTCAAATTACTTGATTTTTGGCTTTGGTTCTATTGGTCGTAAATTCCACAGTGACTCCTGCATTTCATGCAGTTTCACTACAGGAAGAACAAAGTGAAATCTGATTAGATCAATATAAAATACTGTGTCTTTCAGTCAGTGTGGTTTATTTTAATGTATAATTTACTTCATTAAATATATATCCCACCCCTTCACCTCTTAAACACCAGGTCATCCTATTTTAGGATTGGATTCGTGTTTTTATTTAAGATGACCATATTGACAGGAACAGATCCTAGATCAGCACTCTGACAAAACGTTCTGTATACAAGCCCTGGCTTATCTCGTATTTTAATTTTAAGACATATTACTTCACATACACAACAATAAATCACTTTTGCTTACAGTTTAAGAGATTGAAAGACTCTGTTCCAATAAGTATAGTGTCTAGCGGTAAACAGATGTAAGCCTTTGCACAGACACTAGCTCCAGGCCGATGAATCTTGTGGCCAAAATTAGGAACTTGTTGCCAGAATAATAGGAGCATGATTATCGTGTGTATATACATTGTGTTTACAGTAAACCAGAACCAAGAACCATTCAGGTGTGTAAAAGAAACATTTATTTAAAACTTTAATAAAAACAATGTTGTTGTGGTAATTAGGTGGTTTCCCTGGCAAGCTTATATTTCATAAAGTAGTATTAGCAAAATACAGTGTCTGTGACACCAGGTGGACCAGCTCAGCAGTACAGACCCCACACCACCATGTTTGGCTATTGTGGTGGTTACTAAAAAAAGAATTGCCTCAAAATCTGATGAGTCTGATTTACTATTTTTATCCAAAGAAACAGGTTTGTTAAAAGCAGAAAAAAGAATGCAAACAAAATAGATAATTTCCACTCTGTATTTTTAGTGGCCAAAATGTAAAGTGTTGTGGCCAGGGGTACCGGGCAAAAGGCAGTGCTGTTGTATGGAAGCTCCTTTCCACAAACTCTTCTGAGGTCACCCATGTTCTTGAACAATCATGTAGGCCTATTTGTTCACTGGGGCAAGGGTGTAAGAGTGAGTTTGACATTGAGAGGGACACATTTGCAACTATGAATCTGCCACTGAAGTCACAGAGCTGAACAGCAACTTGAACAATTCTGAAGGCGACTCGAGGCTTATGAGAAACTAAGCATATTGTGTTATTTCTGTTTATTGATCTGAGAAGCCTGCATTGGACAGTACATAGACACTCAATGAAGCGCTTACTTGTGTTCTCTGATAAAGCTTAAGTCAGCTTCTTATTCAAAGAAGTTTGGTTTGCTTTGTAAAAGAAACATTTATTAAAAACTTTAATAAAAACATTGCTGTTGTGGTGTTAGGTGGTTTCGCTGGCAAGCTGGTCCACCCTGACGTCATCCAATCTAGGTACTGTTTAGCTAAGCATTTATAAACTATGATTTTGCCCAAATGCTCCATCTTAACCCATTCATTTTGGACTCACTCGGGAGTACCCTCTAGCAATTAAATGGAAAACTTTTGCTTGCTAAAGGCGCTACCCTAGGTGTCAAAATGTAGCTTTTTCCATCCCACCTACGTGCACTGGGGTATGTACAACATTATAGACACATCAGGGATAAAGACCTAATTAATGCCAGATTAGATGTTTTCATTACATCCACTGTCTGCGGTCCTAGGTAGAATACACAGGTTCCACAAATGCACCATGGAGAAATTCTCCCTCTTTCTCTTCCATCTCATAATTCCTTTGTCACCCCCTGCAGGTGAAGGTGCTGAAGTGCATTGCTCCCGTTTCTCTCTCAGACGTGGTTTTGGGTCAGTATGTAGGAGACCCAGAAGGAGAAGGAGAGGCTAAGCTGGGTTACCTAGATGACCCTACTGTCCCTAAAGGCTCTACACAGGCTACATTTGCCACAGCCGTTCTCTATGTAAGGAATGAACGCTGGGATGGTAAGTGGCCATTTTTATTTTTTTTATATCTTTCTAAGTGATATTTAAACCTACATTTATACAAGTTCTGGAAGGGTTTTCAAAGAGCTCTTGCTCTGCGAGAATTTGAGACTTTTTTCTAGCCTTGCTGCACTAACTGAAAATAGTCCTAAATGAAGCTATCAAATGGCTAATTGGGAAAAACTTTACTTACTGTGTTGTATTAAAAAGACAAAACCTCTGTAAATGATTTTGTTTATATCGCAAAGATTTAACTCTGCAGACATTTTGAAAAATCTGTGGAATTCCTCGTTATTACAGGTGGTATGTCTCTGTCCCCCAGGTGTTCCTTTCATCCTGAGGTGTGGCAAAGCACTAAACGAGCGCAAGGCAGAGGTTCGGCTACAGTTCACAGATGTGCCAGGGGATATCTTCAGTGGACAGTGCCGCAGAAATGAGCTAGTGGTGCGCGTTCAGCCCAATGAGGCCATCTATGCAAAGATGATGAGCAAGAAACCTGGGGTGTACTTCAGCCCTGAGGAGACAGAACTGGACCTGACCTACCGCAGCAGATACAAGGTGAGAAAGGGCTTCTGCTGGATCATGACTGCTGAATTAGCTGTTTTCTGTTTCAGGTGTTCAGTACCATTTAACCTGATTTCACTGATAGTTTCCACAGATTTTTTAAATTTGTTTATTTATTTTTTTAATGCAAAATCTGTTCACAGCTGCTGAACCTGCAGTAGATTTGATATGTTACATATTACACATCAGAATGCCTAAATGATTTTACTTTACCTGCACTGTCATCATTGATTTGATTCTAAGATGCGCACATAAGCTAACTGGAAAAAAAAAAAAAAAATATCCATTTGTCTGCAGGATGTCAAGTTGCCTGATGCATACGAGCGTCTGATTCTGGATGTCTTCTGTGGCAGTCAAATGCACTTTGTGCGTAGGTAAGCCTGCCGCTCTCCAGCTTCTTTTTACTCTATTGCTTTAAAAAGCTGTGGTATTTCTATTAGTGGATAGTGAATAGAATTTGCCACATATTGTAGAATTAATATTAAAGGGGAATTCCACTAAGTTTTCAGTCACACAGTGTTTTGCTGTAGAGAACCTCAGATTTTCTTACAATGGTGGTAAGAAAAACAAGTGTTGTGATGTCTACAAGGCAAATATAGCCACCCTATTTGCTATACAAAATCGCCAGTGAACCTTTGTGTGTCTGTAAGGGTGGTAAACCCCCAAAAAAATTTTTTGGGTGGTATTTTGCTGTACCTGCATATAACTCTGTTATGAATGGTTTTCTTACTATTTTGTGTAATGACTGAGGTAGCTTAAACGCTTTAAACATTGTTCTACTGTGAACAGTTCTGACCTGAGCTGATTGTGTGTATTTTAAAAATTAATTTTGCAGAAATTAAGAAAAAAATGGTGAAATTCCCTTTAAATAAAGCTTTCAGATCCAAACATTTGATCAATAAATATTTCAACCTTTTAAAGTGATGAACTGAGGGAAGCATGGAGGATCTTCACCCCACTTCTTCATCAGATCGAGAAGGAGAAGATGCCACCCATTAAATATAAATACGGAAGGTAAAATTAGGTTTTCTTTAAATCTTAATTGTTCATATATTTACAGTGATCATAATGTTATAAAGAACTATGTTTCTGTAGTCAGTCAATTTTTAGATCTCTGATTTAAGTTTGTCAACTTTACTTTGACGTATGCTATGAGGGGACTGTGTTTGTGATAATGGGAAATTTAAGTACAAACTAGCTCATTTAGTGCTTTTGTTAAAAACAGAAGTTTGATAAGAGGTGTCTGGCAATTTAAATATGAATTTGCTTTATCAGGGAGTTATCAGCATTATGATAAATTATGACTCATGATAAAACCATGAGTCATCAGTAATGGCTAATGTCATGCGTTCTATTTATTAGTCCATTCCTAGTTATAATTTAAGCTTCACTTAAGTAAGATTTATGTAAGATTTGCAAGTGTAAGTGTAAATCTCAATCTATCTAATCTAATAGGTGTCAACTTAAACATGGTCTTTCACACTGTTACAAAAATAACAAAAGTTTGAATAAATAAAAGTTAGACCAATGATACTTTTTTAAGCTTCTAGAACCTATGAAAATTTCTTCCTTAAAGCTGCACTATGTACCGATTTTTTATTGTTAAAATTGAAAGAAGTTGTGAAATAGTACCAAGTCAGGAGGGGTTAAAAAAAAACAAAACAAAAAAAACATAAGTTATGTTATGCGTCCACTTCCGCGAGCCTTGTAAATAGGGCTGGGCAATAAAACGATAACGATAAGTATCGCGATATAACTTTTCCTCGATATAGCGATAAGACAGGTTCGATAAACGTTCGATATAGTACACCATTCTCACACTTCCACGTTCAGCGAAAGCCCTGGAGGCGTTTTCTACTGTAAGGAAGGCGACACTACTCTGCTGTCGCCAGGAGAGGGCGCACTTCCGAATTTTTCGATTTGATTAGAGAGGGAGGGGGCCACGAGTAAAAAAAGGGTCGCCAAATATACTTTAGCAACGGCTGAAACGCGGAGTTATACAGTCCCTGTTTGAGTGGATGTTATCGGCGATCTGTTCTCCTGTGACCGAGTGTGAGTGACGAGGTCAGTGGTGTAACTGTACTGTCCTACAGCGAACTCACCTTTTTCCGTGCCTCCTAACACCTTTAGCGGTGTTAAGTGACGTCTGCAGCGCCGTGTTACAGCGCCAAACCGTCATATTTTAGTATTAGTGCATTCTCGAGCAACGAAAGTGAAAGAAAGAAGTGGGTTAATGTTCGAAAGTAAACTGAGGAAGCTGTGAGGCATTGGAGAGCGGGAGAGCGCTATCTTTCCAGGCTAGCTGTTTTTAGCTGCTGGCTAACTTGAAGCAGCGCTTCGGCACAACACGGAGAATTGATGATACGGTAGATCAAACAAGACACAAAAACACCGCTTTCAGTTTAAACATACCTGAAAGGAGGACTCTGTCTGTCTGGTGTGAGAGATTCACACTGCAGATAATGCTTTTACACAGCGAGCGTCAGATATTTTGCGGTTCACCCCTTAAACTATTACGATAGCATAGAGAAACCCAGTCGTCGCTAGCTGGTGTCTGAATACTGTGATATGCTCTGACATGGATGTGGTAGGAGTGACAGCAGTGACCTACCGAACCGAGTTGACGTTGTTGAGAAACTAAAGAGTTTAGCACTGTTGTTGGCCACTTGTTTAGTATTTGTAACGGGGTAACCGAGCGCTCGTCTCCAGACAGCTAAAAATAACCTGTTTTCTTTCTTAAATCATGACTATTACAAAAATTGCAGCTGTTCTTTTCAAGCTGATAAAAACAGCTCAGACACTTTCTCCCACTCTTCCATGACAGATTAGTGAAATGTTCCACTGTTTGCCGAGTGTTTGTCACGATCGGACCATAAGTGATAGTTTAAAACCACAATTAACCACCCAGGAGCAAAATCAGCCTTCAAACGTGAAAGAAATTATGATTTGACATTTATCGCGATATGTATCGATATCGAACGATATGAATTTTGTATATCGTGATAACGTTTTTGGCCATATCGCCCGGCTCTACCTGTAAACCTTAAAATAATCCTTTAAAAGTGGGAGGCATTGGGTCAGATTCTGCGGAAGTTTTTCGGACCACGTCATACGTCTTTTAAGCATTAACATCACGCACAAAAGAGGGTCTGGCTCGATGTTTAGGTCTCAAATACATGAAATACAGATGTGATGACAGTAGAAGAGAATTTCCTTACATCCTCAAATGACATGTCATTCACCAAGTTTTGAATTGTTCAGTGTGCTTGCAATCATTAAATTAATTAAAGGGGTCTGTAGCACAACTGACGTAACAGTGTTGCACATTGTGTGCAGTTACGCATTTCCACCAGAGAGGTCTCTACATACCCAAAATATGCATAGTGCAGCTTTTTGTACAATTCTGTTTTAGTAATTGTTTTATTATTTTATCTCTTTACTTGACTTGCAGTCGTGGCCCTTCAGAAGCAGATGAATTGGTGCAGAAGGTGGGATTCCGCTACGAGGGAACGTACAAATGGGTCAACCCCCACAAACTGTGAAAAGAATGTGGGGAGAAGGCCGATAAACACCTGCGTGTGTGTGCGTTAGACATGTGCTAGGGTGTATCACAGACCAAAAGATGGCATGGTTAGGACCACATATATTTAAAGTTTAAACTCTTAGACTGAGCTTTTTTGTGTACCTTCCAAATCTGAGTCATGGTCTGGTTTTGCAGTGACTCTTGTAGAACTGAACAGCTGTTGATAGCTGTTACTGTAGTTTTTTTACCCCCATTTAGAAGTGTTCAGGAATTTTATGCATTTGTGAGCAGGAATATGTCTGCTTCACTGTATGCCTGTGTAGTCTAATCTTGCTGATCATTCCTACAAAGAGTCACTGTACTCATCTGTCATTCCTGCAGTGCTTGTTTACATTTCATTCCAAAACCCTTCAGATTCATTAAGCCATTCGGATGGCTGTGAGCTCACAAAACAGGTCTTAAATAAAGGATTCTCCCTCTAAAACTTTCCATAGATTGTGTAATACATAATATTTTTGTTATTTCATTTCCATGGAATATTTAATAGAATATTTAAAGGAGAATTACACTGACTTTTTCAATAATAATAATAGTTCAATCTTATAATCCAGTGTGATGTAATTTAGAGTGGTTTGACATGAAATGGTTCATTGCAGAGAAGCTTAATGACGATTTCTTCACAATGGTTGTGAAAGGAACCAGTGGTCACAATGTCTCATGACAAATTTAGCCGTTTTATTTACTATCCGGAATGACCAGAGAACCAGAAGTTATCTGAAGTTGTTTTATGTAATGTTTTTTGTTTTTTTTAAAAAAAGCTCTGCGTGTACCTCTCCAATATGAATATATTTTTTAGAAAAAAAAGGTTTAAGCCGAAATCCTTATCAAAGAACAATAGCAACATGCGGTGTTTTCAGAAAAATTTAATGTAATAACTTTCTGTAATGTAGCTTTTAGAATGATTAAACACTTCAGATATTTGGTTTCCATCACAAACACTGAACAATTCAGACTTTTCTTGAATGATGCATTTAATGTCAGACCACTCTGAATGACTCTGAATTTGTATCTTATGATTAAATGATGTAAAGTCTTTAGTGGAATTTATAGAAAATAATAAATATTACTTTTGAAAGGAATAGATTAGTATAGAAGAACAACACTGGCAGAAATGTTAAAGATCATAGATCAGAGGAACACTATTCAGTGTTGAAATTGCTATTGACTTACCTGTATAAAAATATTGACCGATACATGCTGTTCTTGCTCTTTATGTTTTTGGGTTAACTCATTTAAGTTTGGATTAGTGAAATTTTAACCCTACTTATAACAACACTAGCATCACTTTGCCATTCCACTGTTTGAACCTTCATGTTCAGTTCCATGCCCCCTTTCTTACCTGGGCATAAGTAACACTTCAAGCCAAACATGGCACATACTATAGCCTTTAGCCTTTAGCCTACTGTGTAAAATGGATGTGTGGAGGCTGGAAATGAAGTTTTATAATATGAGTGAATATGGGTAAACAACTGTTGTTGTGCTTTTCATTTTCCTTTTCCTCCTAAAGTATTCCCAAAAATGTCTCTTTAATTACTTAGATATATATTTTTCTCAATAAAGTATAGCTATGATGACTCACGCAAATGTGTGCATGATTCTAATAAGAATTCTTCTGGCAAAGCCTAGAATAATCCGGAAATACGCAGGAATCACATGCACTAGGAAGAGTGTCCTACTGGAGACTGGTTCAACTTAGTTATCAGATAAAGTTCTATTGCTACATCTGTCAGGTTCACCTTCTAAACTGTATGTGGTAGTAACAAATGTTTGGCAAATTGTTAATGATGACTCCTTGTGAAATTGTAGTATGAGGGTATGAAAAAACCTTGAAGGATGGACCCTTTGCTGAAAAACCATAAGAGAATGCATGGGCAACATGTTTGAGGAGTAGTATCCCCTGTTGGCTTCTACCAACTTAACTGCCTAGAACTTGCTTTGGTCTTGGTCTTCTCATAGACTTGGAATAGATGGCCTTTATCATACTAAGATGAAGCAAAGGGGAAAATGAGAAATATTAATCATCCCATTTAGCTCTTAAGTAATAGCCTTTCTCAAGTGGTCATTTCATTGTACTGAGGACAATACATTACAGGTCTCACATCTATTTTTCTCATGTAAAATAAGCTTCATTAAAGCCTGTTTTTAACAAATGAAAATGCACAGTGCACTGGTCTATACAAGTAAAAGCACAAATAAAAATGAATGATAATTGCATTGTATATGCAACAGTAGCTTTTTGAAGGATTTGTACTTTATTAAGTAGTTGTATTGAGGCTCCTTTGGCTTGCACTGTACTTGTGCTGTACCCAAGGTTGAGAACTAGACATATAGAGTCAGAGTCTGAGACAAGGCTGAGAAAAGAGAAAAAAAATGCAATTTATTTGTAGTTCATTCATTATCATTTGCTATACATGATATATATTCGTAAGTAATATTATATATTTTGTAAAAAAATACATTAAATAAAATGGAACCCGTAGTCGGCTGATCTCCGTGTCCAAATGTTTGAGACCGTACTCGAGTAATGTAGCACTATACTGTACTACTAACTTGCATTTTTACTCCAGAAATAAAGAAAATCCAGTAAAACAATTTCTATTCAGGGAGATACAAAATTACATATTGTGCTGGTCAACCTAGTTCAACATAAAATGATCTGAAAAGACTCTCTGTCTCTGGCTGTCTCCTTTGGGTGAAGCTGTGATTTGGATCCAGTTCATCTCTGACAGTACAAATGCTGCTCTTTCCACCAAGAGCTCTACAGGCAGCAGTCCTCCTGGCTTTGGTACATTCATGCTTCCATGCTGTACCAGAAGTAGAGGCATATGGCTCACCAATTGAGCTACCTGGAGCATATGGCTAAGCTTATCTCCAGGCAGAAAGAGACCAGGGCTGCTGTACCACAGAAGCCGAGGAAGCATAAGGCCTGCTCTGATGATGAGTCCTTTCTGATGATAGAAGAGGAAGAGGGATGATGAAGTCAAACAGACTTTATACAGAAAGGCTCATAAACACCCAGTGAGGAGAGTGCCAGATATAATGCTGTAGAACATGAAGACTTGGATCTAGATCCTCTACAAGTTTTATTTCTTTTTTCTATCTTATTTCTTAAAATAAATTTGATTCTTATATTATTATCTGTGCAGTAATTCTGCAGAGCCTCATTTTCTCCAACCTCTTTCAGGGTTGTGGATCATGCCATACAAAATATTACAGTTGTATAGTTAAATGGACGGGTGAATGGATGAATTACTATTAGGTCTACCGTGTTCACTAAACACGCCTGCATATTTCCTTAATAATAAAATGTAATTAATTTTTTGTAGTTCTTTCACTCATTTATGTAGTATTTTACTTACGTTGGATAAACTAGAAAAAAAAATGTTTTATTTTGTAACGGAAACGAAGCTTACGCCTCTTCCGAGCATGGGCAACACGGTTGAGGAGCAGTAGCCGCTGTTAGTTTCTACCAACTTATTTACTCACACAACGGCTTTTTTGGTGTCAGTCCGGCTGTAATATAGTTTAACTCGTTGCGCGATAGGAAAACTCAACAGCTTTCAAAATGAATATTCGCAATGCGCGGGTAAGTGATAACTTTGGTGTTAGAAGTCGTTTGCTGTAGCTGACTGAACTGCGAGGCTAGTTAGCCGCACAGCTAGCATGTCAGACAGCTCGAGCTCTGGAATTCACCACCGGGCTGACTATCTGCTCACACTGCTGTGTCCTGTTTAGCTATGTTGTGCGGACTGTAAATGTACGGTGACATGAACGCAAATAATCCCCATGAGTGCATAAAACAAAGACAGAATGTTGCTACAGTTAGCTAGCTAGTTACAGTTAGCTGAAGTTACCAGTTCACGCTAGCGGGTTAGCTTGTTGATAGGCAGTGTGTTCAGGCTTTAAAGTACAGGCAGCAAAGACGTTTCATGCGACAGTTTTAAATTCTCATTCATTTTGTTACTGTTGTAGAGACGGAAATATTACTAACTTGTTATTCCTTTTTGTGGACAAATATAGTGTGTTCATAAAATAGCTGATTGAGTGCGCTTAACTCTTCCTTTTGCCTGCATAATCTTACTGTCGCTTGATTTTTCTTCCAGCCAGAGGATCTGATGAACATGCAGCACTGCAACCTGCTGTGTCTTCCAGAAAATTATCAGATGAAATACTACTTTTATCATGGACTGTCATGGCCACAGGTTTGTACCAAACTCCTTGTAGAATTTCCGTTTGTCTTCCTTTCTGTAGTCTTGTTTATCACTGACAGGATTGCTATTGGTGAGATTGTTGTTGCTCTTTTTCCAGCTTTCCTACATAGCTGAGGATGAGAATGGCAAGATCGTTGGATATGTGCTGGCCAAAATGTAGGTCCAAAAAAACACTGCTTATATTTTAGGGCCTTAATGTGAGCAACAATTGTTTTTTGACTAAATTAAAAATGGCACTTACTGAATGCCAGGTATCGATCGACATTAGGAAAAAATGCTGGATCCTGTAACAAATCTAGCGTAAATTGCATACACTTACATTGTGTGATGTCATGTTGTTAGCTTTTATTTCTTTTTGTTTGGTAGTAGAGTTTGAGTAGTTTTAATGTTATAGCTTCCATTTAGATGCTCATCTTTAGTGGAGAAATATTGCATTAGGAGTGGGCAATATGGTATGGTATAGTATAATGGTTTCATTAAATATTTCATATACTGTGCTGCGTTAAATCCACTTAAAAAAAACTAATTGTCCTTATTCTAATAAAACATGCAGTTAGTGTTTTTTATGTTCTGACAATATCTACAATACACTTAGAAAAGCATATTGTTTTATCACAATAACAATTAAATCATTTTGCTCACTTTTATATTGGCTGGGCATTGGCTGCTACTCAAAGTTTTAATATTCGTGTCCATACCTAGACTAAATGTTTAAGGTTGTAATAGTTTGAATTGACCATTCTTTCCTGTTGCAGGGAGGAGGATCCTGATGATGTACCTCATGGACATATTACATCACTAGTGCGTAATTAGAAACTGCATTTATCTCAGTCCTCTGTTATACTTTGCTGTACTTCAGTTGTTATTGTCTTTAATGTAATGTGTTGTGTATTAATCTGTGTTTATATAGGCAGTTAAGCGGTCCCACAGACGTCTTGGTCTGGCTCAGAAATTAATGGACCAAGCCAGCCGAGCCATGATTGAAAATTTCAATGCCAAATATGTCTCCCTACATGTTAGGAAAAGGTATTATGTCTACAATGTCTTTTTCTAGATTGTCATGTCTTATTATTTGTGAACAAAGCACTAATATTGCTGATACTTCTTTTCTCTGTTGTTTTTCAGCAATCGGGCAGCCCTTCACTTGTACTCCAACACTCTTAAATTTCAGTGAGTGTCTGTCATTACGTATTTGTCCAAAAAGTCAAGTCTTTGCTTTTTCATATGTTAGACATATTCAGGTATTGCTGTACTCACTGTGCCTTAGGATAAGTGAAGTAGAGCCTAAATACTACGCAGATGGAGAGGATGCATACGCCATGAAGAGGAACCTCACACAGATGGCGGATGAGGTACATTTGTATTTTGTGGTTGTTGTCGTCTAAATATTCGTTCAGTTTTTATTTTTGTATTTTCCGTGTACACTGTGTTACCAGCTTATTAGTTACACTCTACACCTTTATACAAGTTGTTTGTTTCAATAAGTCAAATATCTGTTAACTGCAGACACTTGATTTTTGTGAGAATGGTATGGGGAAAAAAAAGCAGTAGTCGGCAATCCTGTGGATAAAGGAGAATGTAAAGAGTTGTGGAAGCAAACAGACGGGCACTTCTGGGCAAATTGCTTCCAAATTCAGCATTGGTGTCCTCTCAGTTCGCAGTACTGCTAATGTTGCCAGTGAAGATCATGAAAGTGCTTCTCAGGGTTCCTTTTGCATCATGTTGAAAGTATCAGAATTGGGAGCAAGGAACATTAGTCCATAGAGCCATTGTATGTGTACTCTGCAGCACAGGGCGGTTGTGAAAAGTGAGAGTGTGTTGTTTGTGTGTGTGTGTGTTTGTATGTGTGTGTTGTTTTTGGTTTTTGTTTATTTTCTGGCACACGTTATGGCACCTGATTTAAGGCATTGCTAATTAATTAGAGCACTGAACAGAAGAACATATGTGAGTTCATCCCTTCATGTCTCCATTTTTCTGGATGCAAGAAAAGTTTACGCATGCATCACCATGTGCCTGGTGATGGTTAAAAGCGTCAGTGTACTTCTCGCAGAGAAAACACCTGGCTTCAGCAAAAAATATGACACAGTTGGTGGAGAAAACATACAACTGGGCGAACTCCGCAGACTAAAACACTACGCGACAAAGCCTGTGATTGGCCGATTAAAGAAAAGAGGCATGTGACGAAACAAAGATGGACAAGTTTGAGGCAGCAAGAAGTAAGCTGTGTGCTTCAGGAGAAACACCAATATTTTACTGTTTAGTATTTCACACATTTGTTAAATAAACAATGACTTTTTTTTCTAATTATAAAACATTAAGCCCATTCTTCAGTAGCACTAACTATTAGTAACCACCAATACATCCAGGTTATATTTAGGTTTACAAGAGGACAAGGCTAAAGTTGGCTTCCTACTCACCAGCTTCTTGTTTGAATTTTCTTTTTCCACCTTAAATAGTGCAGCATTCTGACTTGCACATCACCTTAGCTAGAACTGTGATAGAATTGTTTTCAGTAGTCATGGAGCTTGCAGTAGTGGAGCATATGTGACAGGCAAAACAAAATCGCAAAGTATGCAAGCTCAACCTTGTTTCGCAAGATGGACACTAGATCATGTTTGAGATTTCTGACATTTCTATTTTTAAACATAAAGAAATAGCAGAAATTTTCATGCACATGAAGGGAAGAATTCAAGACGACACCTGTTGCCTAAAAATGGCCACCCGCTGCGTTCAGCTACACTGTCAAGTTTTGTAATGAAGATATGGAAGCGGTTTCAGCTGGTTAAGAAAAGTTTTGGGCACATATTTATGGAAACATTTGGGTGACTGTTGACCTCTGGTGTTTTGTAAAGACTAACAAAGCAAAATCTGTAGAGTGGAAGTGGAAAATTGTGTTAATTTAGTTTTCGTCAAACCATTCTTTTTCACTCGCATGTCTTCTGTTTTTCACTCCATAACATTAGTTCTGCACATTGCTATCTGTAACAAATTGAATGTAATCATCAACTGGATCGTCACTGTCGTTTTTAGAATGCCGAATGACACTAATTGAGCAAAAGCATCCTGTGTTGTGTAATTGTGTTTTTAAACTGAAGTGGGATCTTATGTGTAGCTGCAGAAGCCAGGTGTACGTCTGTGGGGCTCGGAAGCACCTCCGTCACAGGTGACTGCAGTGACGGGGCTGGTGGAGAAGCTGACGGTGCAGGATGGAGAGAAGGAGGGTGATGGAGATAGTGGCGGGGAAAGCAAAGAGATGAGTGAAGTGAGTGAGGCAACTGAGAGCACAGACGTCAAAGACTCTTCTTCCGATTCTTAAATATGACCTTGGACTCCAAAAAACTTCTGTCCTGCTTCCCAACATCTCACCTTAGGTTTTTAAATTGGTTTAGTACAACTATGTATTTGGTTAATTTTATTGTCAACATGCAAGAAAGATGCCTTGCCAAAAGGGCTCCTGATTATTGGAATATTTGTAAAAGAAATATGTGAATAAAATTGGACACTGTATACCTAATTGTATGTTGTTTTTGTTATAGGCTGGAGTTGTGATTTGGCATTTAAGTTAGGTTTATGATGTAAAACAGGCCCCAAAAGTGGTCAGAATGATCCTGATCATCTCGCTGGCATTCAACATCCTCAATCCTGTTATTCTGTGTCTTCTTGCTTGCAGCTAAAATTGTGAAAATTAAATGTCTGTTCCTGTCTTAATTAAATTGCTGTGATCAGTAATGTGAATCATTTACATGAGAATCAGTTCTGGATAGTGTCTGAAGAATGGGCCTCATTCACTAACCGTTAAGAATTCATTTCATCTTAAAACCCACTTGTGCAGTTTTTACAGAGATTCTGACATTCAGTATTGTTTTCTTCTGTGGGATTTTGTTCTTGGGTAAGAATCTTTGCACACTGATGAGCAGAAAAGTGCGAACTATTCTGCGGTTGAAGGACACGTAATGAGTTTTTATTTATTTATTTTTTTTTAGGACTATTCTCAAGAACAAATTTAAGAAAAACGTAAAAGGTATTTGTGAATGAGGCCCAATGCATATAAAATATTTTTAGCCAGTAGGAGGCAGCATTTCGTCTAAATGGGAAGTCCTCAGATTCTCCAAAATTTCCACGTGATTCAGTTGTTGAGATGTAAGTCACTGTGAAATGCTGTTTTGGAGAAACTGAGCCAAGTTTGTTTACTGTAACAGTGATGGGGTCATGATGTCTGCAACACACCACTGCTGTTTAAAACCACCAGTGAACTTACATGTGTCTTAAAATAATGGTAAACCTGGAAACAAAAAGTTTTCTTTGGGGACTGTTTTGCCTAATGATGCCCTGAAGCTACCCTTTATATTGTGTGAAAATTTAAATAGAAATGCTTCAAAATTACTTGGAATAAAATCTCTTTACATTATCTTACATTAAAATAAAGACAATGTCTTCTCCTGTAAAGTTAACATTTTGGAGATGTTTTTCTTTGGACAGCAACAATATGCATAACCTTTATAATAACGTTATGTGAGGGAGTTTTCAGAAGAATTAAACTATTTAGACATCTGGTTCCTATTACCACCACTGTGAACAATTCTGATTGCTCCCATTTCACAAACGTGAGTTTGTTTACGTCTTAAGCATTTAATCACAAATTTTAATAGTATATGAAATTCCCCATTAAGGCACAAAAAAAAAAAAACAAAGGCATAAAAGGCAACATTTGTTTATTCAAATTGTATTTTCAGTTTGAGATAGAAAATAAATTACATATATATATGTATAAATAATGTAAATATATGTTCTATATGTGTAATAGTACCAACGCACAAAGCAGGACCTCCGTATTACTTAGTAACGAAAATCAGGACCAGTTTTTTAAATAAGCACTAGTATGTTTTCACCTAGCTTGAGTCGCTTCCAAATAGTGCTGAGGTGAAATGTGGGTGGAAACGCATTGCTACCAGGCTATTACAATGATTTCAAATTTGTATTCTACCACAAAAAGTGTTACTGACCAAACACAGTGAAGCTCATTTAATTCCAAGCCTTCAGCAAAACACAATGTGATATAAACTAAGGCTAAACAATCTCACACTAATACAGTAAATTAAAGCAACTAGTGAATATTATTGAAAATACATTTAATTTACTTGGCTAGAAGTGTGATAAAACATTAGGGAAACATGTATAATAAGGGTTACAGACTAATAGTTTGGTTAAGAAATCCTATTGGATTTCATCCAGACCTCTTAATAGTAAATCAAGTTTTCCAGCCTGTGCTGCCACTGCACTATATGGCTCTTGTCCATGTGTGCTCAATTATAACCACACTGTCTGTAGGTACACTTAGTAGATAACCATATTGACAAAAAAGGGGCCTAATTTGTGAAAAAGGAATTGGTGGGGGATGTCTGGAGGTCATTTATTGAACTAGTTAAAGACGCGCCTACCCCTACATCTCCATGTGTTTATCAGAGCAGATTTAATCGTCTGTATGTCCTGTTTCTTCAGACAGCTGGCAGTATTATTTTATGCGGTCCATCGGATAGCATCCTCTCCTCAGAAAAGACTGGTTTCACTTGATTCCAGAACTTTGGGAAGTGGTACCTGGCGATTGAACAGTAAATTCAACATCAGTACAGCACATGACCTATGTTTTATATTCTTTGTGTACTTTGTTAGATAAGAATTTCAGGGGCTTATATATATACACACACACATTATATATCCATATTATAAGTAATTAAGTCATGAATGGTTCATCGGTTAAAGAGATATTGTTGCAGTACTTATAATAGCTAATAATTCATTTTTAATGGAAAATTTCCCCAAAAACGTCCATATTTTTGGCAATAAATATTTGTTCAAAAAAATGAAATTGTTTTAAATGAAAGTGTATTTTCACCTTACTTAAATACTTAAAATGGTAACATACTTTAACTTCAGACAAGTGAGAACAGAGTCATTTTCTTATTTCACAAGCAGTAACCCCCACCCCCAACACGTTGTTACATCTTTGATGTAGGTTCTTAGCTATTTTAATGGGAGTGTTGCATAGAGCTCCTTGACAGTAATTGAGTGCTAATTTGAGACGCCTTAACTGCACTTACCGATTTTAGATAGGCCACATTGCTCTGTCGAATCTCGTTCAGGAGCAGGTCACGTGGTGTTAGCTCCACTTTAGGTGGCTGCCTCCTTCTAGGAACCGGTTTCAGAGTCTTTATTACATCTTTTAGGTTGGCTTTGTCTTCTGCTGGTTCCTCCCTCATTGTGCTCCTCTGTTTAGGAGTGCTGCGTAGCTGAATGTTAGCCCTTCCTTCTCTTCTTTCCTCTCTTTGATTTAACTCGAGCAGTGGGTCACGACGTTTTGGAGTCTTTTTAAGCTGTACGCCTTTCAGCAGATTGCCTGAACCTGAGTCTGAGTTGGGGGGAGGCTGCCCGGGAGGGTGGTGTACCTTGCGTAGCTGTGGAGATGGACTTGATACCGGGGAGGAATCTTGAGAAGCATTTGGAAGATCCTGTGCAGTCTGCAGAAGTGCCATCTCAGGAATATAGCCTCCTAACATCTCCAGGAGGCCAGGAGGCAAGTTCAGACGGCTTTCATACATCTCCATGATCTGCCGTTGCTCTTTGATTTGCTGAAGCCTCTGCTCTTCCTTCCTCTGCTGTCGCTGACGGTCCAGGTTCCTGGTGAGTAAGTTTGTCACCACCATCCGAGGCCCAGGTAGCTCAAAGTGGTAACCCATCTTTAGGAGTGTGTTGTTGGCTTTGAGGAGACGGGACACTTCCATCTCTGCGTGATGGCCCAGCATGTGCCTCTGGTTGTGGAAGCGGAGTTCTGTCAGAGTCTCGTTGAACTGTAGACAGCGCATTATTGCAATAATACCCTTTCCAGTGATGAAGTTTGACTCAATGTTCAGGGTGGTGATGCTCCTGTTCTCTCGCAGCATGTTGGCCAGGGAAAAGGCCACGGTTTCATCTGCGCCTGTGTTTGCAATGCTGAAGGTCTTCACATGCTTATTCTTTTTGAGGGCCTCCACATAGTCCAGGAGCATTTCTTTGGGAATGTTTTCAATGTTGTTGAGGTTGACCTCAGTGACGGAGGGGTTGTTTTTGCGAATTTTGTCCAGAGTGCTCTCCAGATTGGTCTCATTTCCAGAAGGCCTTGCTGTCTTTTTGATCAAGCCATCACCAAGCACAAGCTTTGGGATCTTCAGTTTAGATATGACTCTCTCTTCTTTCTCAGGAACCCAGTTCTCGTAGGCCGAGGGAGCAGGTTTAGACTGAAGCTGATCTGCTTGTTTCTCTTCAGCTGCCTTTAGTTCTCCCCCATTCTGCTCTGATCTGAGAGCTTCTCCCTCCTTCCTTGAATCACAGAACTCCGGAGGAGGCTGTAAGACTTCTTGAGAGGTGACAGACGCAACAGTGCTGTTCTCCTCAGTTTCTGTTTTAATGGGCTGTCTGGTTCGTTCCTCCTCCTTGTCATCTTCCACCTCCACCACTTCCTCTATTACCTCTTCAATCACTTCCTCGATCACCTCATCACCATCCCCTCCCTCAACCTCCTCAACTATCTCCTCATACATGTAATCTACTTCAACATTTTCATCCCCTTTGGCTTCCTTCTTGATTTCCTCATCCATTTTTTTCTGATAATAACAAAAAAAAAAAACATGTAAAGCTATCATTCCTCTAGCCATGTGTAGCATGATGTTTAAATAATATGGTTTCACATTACTGGTACATACTGTATGCAAACTTGTCTGTCACATTATTAGATTTGCTATCGTACCTGACTTGGCAGCAGGACTGCGGGGACTCTTTCCTCTTCTAGCAAACGTTTAGACTCTCTCTCCCAGTACAAGTAGTCCACCAGTGATCTGTGGTCAAATGAACCTGTTGGAGGTTTATCTGTCTGGTCCTTCTGTCTCATTCCTACTGGCACTCTCTCGTCAGGGACGATCACTTCCATCTCGTTCTGGAGTTGCTTGAGCTCCTCAGCGGAGAGCCCTGCCAGAATTGCATCTTCATCAATCTCTTCTTCATCTTCAGATCCTTGCTTTGTGTTATCTGAATTAAGAAAAAGAAATGTTAAGAAGAGGCAAATATGATTAACCTGATCTCTGACCCTCATGTATGTTTTTTAAATATACTTAAAATTCCCATAAAACTGTTTCCCTGGTCCTGGAGTCCCACCGCCCTTCACAGTTTAGTAGTTTATCTTCCAACACACCTGATTCAGTTAATCAGCTTATTGTTGGAGGTTTGGGAAACACTGCCCTAGAGTAATACTAAAGGTTACACAGTACTAACTGTCTGTATGTCAGCATTTAATGTTGAGGTGGAAAAAACTAAAATATTGTAAGATGAATTGTGAAGTTTATCATGAAAGTTACTACAGTCTATAGTACATGTATCTGTACTCAGATATCAAGAGTTAGGGATGCACCAATATAAGAATTGTGGGATTGTGGTGATATTTTTTGGCTGATGTCGATGCCGATTCATCAACATGTACAGAATGTAGAAAAAAGGACTACATCTGTCTAACATGTTTCTATAAAGTTACAAATACAGTAAAATGAATAAAACATAGACATTCGACATTTCAGCACAGGATCTTGGCACTGCCTCAACATTCTGCCCTACCTGAGGACAGTACGTGTTATCAAATATCAATTTGAAACATCAGCCAAATCTAAACATCGGTCCAATAGTTTTTCAAGCAGTTATCTGCCGATACCAAGATGATTCCAAAATCATCATGCCCCCCTATCACAAATACAGGAAAATACCATAAATATGAGAAGCAACAACATGGTAAATGACGCAGCAAAACCCCAAACACGCAGTACCTCGAGCCACTGGTTCATGAGAAGCGTCCTTCTGTCTCATCCCCACTGGCACTCTCTCGTCAGGGGCGATCACTTCCATCTCATTCTGTAGTTCCTTGAGCTCTTCGGCCGAAAGACCTGCCAGAATTTCATCTTCATCAATGTCCTCTATGTTGGGGTCCTGGTCACTGTGGTTGGACATGTCCAGTCTTATGCAGCTTCAGTTAGGAAAACACGATTTGAACCAAAAGCAGAAATTAATGCAGTAACAGAGCTATTGCATGTCGTGAATGTCAGCCTGAACTCCAAATGGGTGAGAGAATCCCTCAATGCCCTATGCCTGTCTATAATTATCCCCATTTGACAGAGGGGAAGGTATTTATGGTACAGGAGGGGAGATACTAACATATTCTTTTTTCAGCAGCTTGAGTCAGCTGAGTAGTCCATGGTGCTTCAGTTGAGCAGTTGACTGAGGGGGGGTGGAGAAAGACAGAAGCAGGTGGGCATGCCAGTCAAATAGCCTCCGCAACTCCAACTCCGCAAACCCAACCCCTAAACGCTTTCCCTACAGCCATCTTACTGATTTTTTAGGACTTTTTACGTAGCGTCAAAATGTCTACAAGTTGTCTGTAAGTTGGAAAATAGGCTACACAATATACAAGAAGTGGAGCAGTACTTCAAAACCATTGATTAAACGGGACACTGCAGTTGTATCAAGAAATATGAAAAAGTAACACTGCTGACGATTATGTTCCATGAACATAAAACCTGTATTTAGATAAAGAGGGGTCAACATGAAGGGTACAGGGTGTGATTTAGCACACACCGTTTTTCATTTTATGGAGCTCCGCCTCTGATCCCAAAGAGTTCTGTGGAAAGAGTAATAATATCTCTGATGTACACAAGAGGCTTGGGTAACTGAAAAAAGAAATTCATGGCAGGATGGAAAGATTGCAAAGGTAGTGACTGATCTGTTTGACAGAAATGAGGAGCTGTCTGTGTTTTCTGTCATATAACAAGACAACTGAAGATGTCACTGCTGGTTGAAATGTTTTTGTTACATCTTTAGGTTCTGTTACCTACATAAGCCTTTTATGACAACAGACAATAAACCACATAGATGTTTATAAAGGCTGATACGGACTTAACAGTCAGTAAATTTTCTTTTATAAATTGTGAGTTGAGTAATGTGTGATTATAATATAATGTCAGGAGATCTCTAGTCGTTTGCATATCATGTATCAGAATAAAAATAAAAACATGCTGACTCAGATGTACTAGGACTGAAACAAACAAAACCCCACCCCCCAGACTCCTTTCACATAGTCACTATGTCTTATTGAATACAGTGCATAGCTTATTTAAATGTGTAATGTTTTGGTTTTTATTTTTCGCATGTAAAATTCAAGTGCTATATTTTTCAGAGAAACAAAACTTTTTATCCAAACACTCTGCTGAGGCAGTTTTGCTGATGGGCTATTTTCTCTTGGTCAATCAGCATTTGGATAACCCAGCATTTGAGTTGCCTTACCTTGCTGCCACTAGTTACATTTAAGTGTTTTTTTTTAATAATAGAGACCTCTCCTGAGCTAGCCCAAAATGAATAGGTTCCTATGTAGCTTTTGCGCAATATCATAGAAGTAAATGCTGAATTACTTTTACATAGATAAATGCCGTCATTTTCTCTACACAGAACAGCATAAAATACATCAACACTTGCTATGTTTTGAACTCCAGATATAGCTATACCTATCAATCCCTTAAGTATGTTCAAGGCATCAGTGAGCACAAACTGAAAAACAGCAGAAACTCTGTGTCAGGATGGAAAGACTGAACAGGCTGTTTCTTGAAGGAATCACTAGAAAACTGCTACATATTAGGTAAACTACATGATAATATCTGTTTTAAGTCTCAAATAAAACATTTATGAGCTTCAAATGTCTCACACACACACACACACACACACACACACATTTTCTAACCCGCTTATCCTTCTGGGCCGTGGGATTCAAACGTCTTAAAAGTTTTTAATATAGAATGTCCCCAAAAAAATGTCATGTTCGTCACTGTTAGCTTAGCATGCTGCTAGAAAGCTCCATTTTCAGGAGTTGCAGCTTAATGCCTAGTTTTTTTAGGATATAATAATAGCAAATTTAATTCTTAACTTAATCCTATGTGTGGCCCGCACATCTAACCAAGTGGTTAAATGAAAAATTACCAGCTAGCTAGCAACAGGTACCCTCAGTGAAATGTTCAGGGAGGGGGTGGAAAAAGAAACAAAACAGTTAATCCATGTACCTGTAAAAATACACAACCTTTTCACCTCTATTCCCAGTGATTTTTAAATACTAGTACTTACATCATCAGAACTTATTACTTTTGACTTACTGGCACCACCTGACGTTTTCAGACTAATTTCAAATTAAACAGACATCTGCTTGGACACCCGTAGAAACCTTTGTCCTTGAACTTTTTTTTTTTTTTCATTTTTTAAAATAAATATTATATTTACTATATTTCTGTATTTACACCTTTTGATGGTTTTCCTGAGGTCATACCACCTGACATGGTAAACTGAACCATTCTAACTATGACTCAACAATGACATTTTTCCCAAAATTTATGAAAGGGCTACTGACCTTGACATTGTATCATGAAGGTCACTTGGGGTTTTCTTTATGATGCAATACCCTGGCCCCTCCTTCATAAAAGCATGTTGAAATAAAAGTCCTTTGTTTTTGGTTGTGCCACCTGACATTTGAGGAAATAAGTGAGGAAATAACTTGTGGACAAAAGTTTTTCAGTGAGTTGAGTTCTTTTAAATTTGCCTTATTTTGCAGCATGGTTTTTATTTTAAAGTTTTCACACATAAAATGATGCCAAGGTATTTTATTTAGAATTTTTTACAACTAAATTACCTTTTTTGAGGATTCATTTAATCAACATATAAGGTTGGACGGTTGCACCACCTGACGTTTTTAGACTGCATGAGGCAAAAAGAAAGTAAAATAAATTCT